GAGAGAAGATCCACAAGGTCTGATCGGAACGAGTCCTCAGAACTAAAGCGGATCTCCTTGCCCTTGCTCTTGACAAACTCAATAACCTCAAGTGCCGTGTTCTTGATATATGTCATGTCCTTGCCGTGGCTATGCTCGCGGAGGTATGCTGAGGTTCCAATGACGACATCGAGACCGTCGACACCCGTCTCAACAGCGATTCTGGCATCGTCCATGTGGCATCGTACGTGGGTGAGGATCTTGGCTTTCAACTGCAAAATTATCAGCGTGCGACCTCGCTACCAGAATATTTGTAAAACGTACTCCGAGCTTGCACAGAGCCTCGCAGTCCCTCCTTGACTGCTCGGAAGCAGCGGGACTGGTAACTTCGATGTCTGGAATTTGATTAGCCTGGGAAATTTGCAGGCCAAGTGCCGCGGAGTAATTTCTTACAGTCAACACCAAAGTTGTCGAGGGCTTTGGCAATCTTGATCTTGGCCTCAAGATCGAAGTAGGCATTGGCAAACTGCTCTCCTTCTCTCAGTGTGCTCTCTATGCGAATAAAGTCAGTTGTGCTCTGGTATAGTGCTCAATTGCAAAACTTCGAATATCGACGCGTGCGCATCGGGTGGCGGTGAAGGTTGGCATTCTGAACGCACCGATAATCTTGAATCGCCCAACATTTGACAGGAAGTCGCCAACAGGTTGGTAAGGACTCCTGTGTGATGGGTGAGGGTTCTGCTTGGTCTGGACACCGGTGAAGCCTTCCTTGCTGCGAGGTGCACCGTTGGTGCCGTTGGCTTGGCCGTTGGTGGTTTCTTCTGTGGGGGGGCACATTTTGGAAAATTGAAGTGTATTGTAGAGTGTTGGAGGAGTGGTGGGCAAAGAGCAGTATTTGAAGGCCGGGCAGCTGCTTCCAAGGTGAGTCAATGACAAAAATCTGCTGCGTTGAGCGATGATGAAAAGCGTCAGAGCCGGGATCGGGCCTGTAGCTGTGCTAGGCCGGCTTCGCTGATGATGTGGGGTTGAGCGACCAACGGGAGCAGTCCCCTTTGATGCACGGGAAGCGGAGTACAGCCATTTTTTTCCCGCTCCCAGTCTATCCCATGCTCCACAAACCTGGAGAAATTGGACCAAGACTCCAAACGTGGTTTCCGCAGGTGAGTCAAGCAATGGGACTCTGGTAATTTGCAATCCACCCTGACTCAACGCTCTCTCCCGGGTTTGGGCACTGGTCTGCTCGCTGGCCCCTCGCCCACGCGGTATACCAAGCAAGACGCAATAATTATCTATGTTCTCGGCTGTCCTAGTCTTTGCGAGTGTATACGCTATACCAGGCATGTGCAACTCGATGCGAAGCAACAAATCACACGTCGCTTCCTGAAGATTACCATGCATAAAGGCTCGTCTAAACACCGAATTACACCGCCACACCATCAACTACCACAGTCCCAATTCCACTACCCTACTTGGATCCATGTTGGACAAAGGAGCACATGTGACATCAAGGGTTGCCCGTTCCAGCGACGACTCTATTCGCATGCTACAAGCCATGCAAGCTTTGCATGGTTCATGTATTAGAATTTGTGCTTTAATCAATTATGTGAAATTTTGTATATTATCTTACTATTCAAATGACTCAGAGTGCAACTTGATGTTCTGGGTGCGACAAGGAATTTAATATCGATGTAGCACAATACACATGATCCCTTACCCGCTATATTTTTTTTTGGGCAGACCCTAAAGACACTTGTACCTTCTGGGTAGCCGGTGGCTCAACACGCAAGCTTGTGGGGATACAGACCGCTGCTTGCAAGGTGGCACCAAGTCTTGACTGATGTCTTCATAGCCTGTCGCCACCCCGCCTGCAGAACTAGACTCAGGGATGCGTTGTCTATTTATCCTCTCTGCTATCCATGGCACTGGGCGGTGAGGGACAGTAGCTCATGACAAGTATGTCAAAGTCTAACAATTGTGATTAAAACAAAACTATGTGGTATCACATCCTAGTGCCCTAGATTGCCTCATGGTATCTGAATGGAAGCACAGTGCCTCCCCCCAAACGCCCCGCCTGTCCCAAAAAAAAGCATCATCTATCCCCCAAAGGCAACATTTAGATACTCTGCTCCATCTCTGTAATGTAGAGCTTGATGTGACTCTCCATCTTGAGATACTCGTCGTGGGCAGAGTGAACCTCGTTCTCAATGTTGTCTTTGAGCTCGGCCATCTTCTTCTCCGTCTGCTCAATGCGGACTCTCCGTCGCTCCATCTCCCGGCCTTTCTCGCCGCGCTCTTCCGTAAGCTTAGCGTGAGTATCTCGAAGCTCCTCCATACGTCTGCGCGCACGCTCTGCCTCTTCATCGCCTTTGGCCTTGAGCTTGTCTGTGCGGGCATTGATGTTACCCAATTGCTTTTGCAAGAGGCGTTCTTGTCGCTCGACGTCGCGCACATTGTTGCTCCGGTCGGCCAGCGCATCTCGGTGTCTTGATGCCTTTGCTAGCTCCTCCTCCTCTCGCGCCAGATCGGCTTGTACATCGGTAAGCAATCGTGTGCATGAAGTAACATCGGTAGCGACAACAGCGAACGAATCGGTCGAGGTCTGAAGGGCACGAGCACGGCGGTCTAACATGTCAATCTGTGTCTTGTCACCAGTGAGTCGATCGCTCAAGTCGCGCAATGAGTCTTCAAGAGCTGTTGGACTCTGCTGGGTGTACGGCTTCAGTTTCAGCACCTCGCGTTGGACATTCTCCTTGTTTTCGACCTTTTGCTGAAGCAGCTTCTTTAGCCTGTCCTGCTCCATCTTAGCACGCTCCAGCTTCTCCGCTACTGCCTCTTGCCCCCTCTTCAATTCTAGCAGTCGCGTCTTCAGCTCGTTATTGCGCTTCTCCTTCTCCTGCATCAGCCTTTGGGTAGCGGCACGGTTCCGCTCGAGATCGGCCAGTTGCATTTCCTTGGTTTGCTTGTCATTATACAGCTGCTCGATTCGTAATTTAGTGCGTTCGGCCTTGTTGAAATGCTCGTCGATGATCTCAGTTTGAGATTCGCGGAAGCGGATAAAGTTGATCATGTACGAAAATATCTTAACAAGGCGGCCATGAGTGGGCTTGTATAGATCGTTGAAAGTAAAGTCATGAATTCCACACTGGATTTGTTAGCAAAGACCCATCCGAACACTTCCGAATGGCACCCACCTCGCGCAATAGTTTTCGTAGAATGACAAAGAAGCCCATCAAATCTCTGGTGTCGCTGGTGTAGAGTCGCTCTGCGTCTCCTCCGCACATGTCTTCGGCAGCGGCCCGCATCGCTGGCGCAACGACTTCGCGAGTCGTATTCATCAGCAGTTCGGCCAGCCATTCGAAAACTTTTTGGATGATCTGGGGGTTGGGCTTCTGTAGGTCCGATACGGTGAACTGGATGCCGATGTCTGAGATACAACCCGCAATCTCGTTGTCCGGCTAGACGGGTCAGCATCTTTTCGACTTGAAGGGCGTTTGTCGACATACCAAGGTCATGAAAGCGTCATGTTCGTTGACTGGGGGTGCGCGCTGATTGTGTTGAGTGGTGCGCGCCATGCTCATGCGCCCGTTGTAAGACATGGTGGTGTTCTAGGCGACTGCAGGCAGGTATTGATGTATTGGTTGAATATTGCTGGATTTGGTTATCAGGACTGCGGGGTGATGGTGGTGTAAGGTGGGTGGGCGGTGTTTGTTTACGCAGTGGAGCGCTTTGTTGGCAAGGCACGGGAGACCCTGTCTTTTCCGAATCGGGACAAGCAGAACAGCACACGGATCCACTCCAGCTCATCCGCAACCAGACATGGACCACACAGGGCAGACTGTTCCGCTGCTTACGCTGTTTTCACATGCTCGTGAGCTATTGGTATGTACTTATGCAGCCATGTTATCTGTGCTCATATGATCTCCCAACGATGTCACGTGCACTCTCTTTCTAAGCACTGATACTCTAAGCGATCTCACCAATATGGGCGGTTTTTATACTGCATGCTGACTCTAGCGTTCAGATGGTGAGTGAACAACTGTCATACTGGTAACCGTTTCTCTGTGATCATATCAAGCAACGTTCGTTATGGGCTGTGACTCCTGTTTGGGCAATCGTCGCAAGCTCTCTCGTCTCTCCTTTGCTGACAGACAATATCGAACAACGCTACTGTACCTTTTGTTTTGTATATGCCTAGACATGTTGTACATATGTTTACATATCGCTACTTTCTGTTTGTACGAGAAGAGATGAGACAACTTTCTGTAGTCTGCTCCAATTGAGTACAGGCTGTTCAAACACCAATGTATTGTGGGCGAGGAGGTGAAGGAGAAAGAGAAAGATGCTTTGAGTTTTCAAGGTCACATGGGCGACACGCATAGGTCGATTAAATCATGTCGTCGTACATCCATAGACTGGTGGCCTTTGGCGGGCCTCGAATATGGTATGTATTTGGCAACCAATCCCTAGTTGGTAGGCGTACTCGGGCGGGTATAAGGTACCGTGGACGGAATGCTCCTTCCGACGCAGCCAATGCCAGCCACGTGACGCGCAACCAAAGTGCGAGAAAAAGAAACAAGATCAAAACAAATCAATTCTGTTGCCTAGGTATACTGCACTTGGACTCGCAGTGGTGCGCTGGCTGTGTGGAGGATTCCGACCGGATATGCATCAGCTTGGGGTTAGTGAGCACAGTGTTTATTGGGTGCATGGCTGTGCATGAGTTGAATGACACTCAGGACAACCAATGTATCCAAGTCACTAGGAGCAAATGCCCGAGATGCAGTGTTGTAATTTTGCGCGAGACGAGGGGGGTTATGGGGGTTATGCTTCTCCGACGCAGGCCAATATTGGCCTGCTGTTGTGGCAGCTGCTATACGTCAGGCTTGAGCAAAAAGAGTAAGTATGCTTGCAGGACTATGGAGCATTGGATCATAAATCCGACCAAGGGTTAGTAATAATAGCAAGCAACAGGGCAAGACGCAAAAAATGCTATAGTTTTTTTTGGTGATGCGTTGCTGCGTCTATGCGTTCACTGGGGTGGTAGTATGCCCGAGATAGTGCCAACCCTGGTGGAGACGAGGGGAGGGCTGGAAATGGTCGGTCGAGGGCGAGGAATGGCTTGTCGTCATGCATTGCCCCCTCCCCCAGCGGTTCGGCTTAGTTGTAGGTGTAAGAGGCAGAAGGGAAAGTAAGTTCAGACTTGTGGCTAGGGGCCAAACTCTGGAGCAATGTTTTGGTGGATGGATGCACAGTGGTATTGGATCATGCGCCTCGTAGGCGTGGCGGAAAGCAGCAAGCGAGGCAAAAATTGACGTAGGTGTGACAGTTGGCGTTCCCTGTAAGTAGCTATGTAGCCCGTAGTTGCATGCTTCGTATTGGCGTTGGCAATGAGTCAACTGCGGGCCGCCGAAAAAGCGGAAGCCGGGACTGCACAAGTCAGGTAGTAATACCACATTGTGCATTTGAAACGTCAGCCTGCCACGCCTTGAACGTTTCACGCGACCTCGGGGCAGAGGCGAGGGAGGCTTGGTGGGCGCTGCTAGATCTTTGCAGTAGGTAGGTAGGTAGGTAGGTAGGTAGGTAGGTAGAGTAGTATGGGCACATGCACACGCACCAGACGAAAAAGCAGGCGCCAGCGATGCGCAGCCGTTTGGGCCGGCGGGCGACGGTTGTGGTCTTGGGGGAGGGGGGCCCGCTGGCCGGAGCAGGGAAGGCCCTTACAGCGGGTGTGAAGGCATGCGCATGGTTGAGAGACGGGTACCTGAGTTGCAACGAGGCACACAACGTCGCTGTCGATGGACTTGCAGGTGGGCGGGCTGCAGGGAGATGGAGATCGTGACGGTAGTCTCCCCCCCAGCAAGCCACGGGCACCGTTGGCGTGCAGGAGCAGGAGCAGGAGCGACGTGTCCCACTGAAATTCAATACAGACATGGTTTGGGTCGCAGGCGTGCAGCGTACCGCGCTCTGGCTCCGGTGCGGTACAGTGCGGTGGAGTGGAGTGCAGTGCAGTGCAGTGCATTGCAAGTGCAAGTGCGAGAGCGAGATGCAAGAAAAAGCGTGGAAATGACAGCGGCTTGAATGAGTGTTTGTTTTGGCAGACAGTGGGGGCAGCGCGTGTTTCTTTTTTGTTCGACGGGGGCATGGCAGACCAGTGGCAGGCGAGCGATAAGCTGAGGTGAGCAGAGGGCGAGAGGCTGCCCTGGCCCGGCCCTGGCCTGCCCTGGCCTGCCAAAGCACGCCCGGTACAAGGACGGGGCACCGGCTGGAAGCTGGCATGGGTAGCGCAAGCCCCTTGCCACCGTTGGTTGGCCACGGCCAGGGCGAGATCGACGAGGCAATCTGGGACGATGCTTCTGGCGTTCCAATGCCTTGCCTCTGTCTGCCTCCGTTGTCGTGGCCGTGGGCGCGGTGCTGCCGTCGAGGCAAGATTAAAAGCTGCTGCGCTCCCTCGCTCGTGTCGCCGCCCTCTGCGCACCGACAAGGACCGACCAGGGCCCCAGCAGAGAAATGCCCGAAAAGAACAAGCAAGACGGGTAGCATAGTAGTATATTTTTGGCCCTGTCCGCCTGGTGGGCATCATCATCAGCAAAGGGTCGAGCCCTGTGAAGCAAGATTCGAGCCCTGTCTAGGAGCGTATGGTAGATACGAGCTGGCGGATCCTCCCTTACATCACATTGCAGCACCACCGCACCGCACCCACGCACACAGACTCTCGCATCCACACACAGACACCCACGCACACCCACGCACACCATACACACTACCACTGCCATCTCATACACATACACTGCTCCTCCTCTTCCCTGTCTCCCTTCTCCCTTCTCCCTTCGCCCTCGTCACTTACCTACCCGCTCGTTCGCTCGCTCGCTCGCTCGCCCGTTGGCGGCCCCAGCCCGAGTGCCACCCGCCCACCGCAGCCCGCGCAACATGCAGCCCGACCGGCCGTGCAGCGACTCCCATTCCACATAGCACCCGCCTCTTTCGCTATCCCCCGAACCGCCTCGTCGCCTCCACTGCCGCGACGACGCCCCTCTCCAAAAAAAAAAACATACACACCCGCTTCATAAAGCTCCTCGCCGTCGCCGCCGCGCTGGCGCTCGCGAAGCCCCATGTGGCTGTTTGGGCGGAGACGGAGGAAGGCCGCTAAATTAAGAGACGCTGGTGGATCTGCTGCCGCTACACAAGGGAACTTGCCTGTCGCATCCGCCGCCGGCCAGCAACCCAACACGAATCAGACCAACAATGGCCCGCGGCGAGGCCCTAGTCAACGCTTACGCCGCCGACGGAGCAGTTCGCGGTCCACGCCCGCTTCAATCCGCGACGTTGACAAGACCCTGCCCGAACTCTCTTTTGCCAAAGACGCTTGGCCCCAGTCAAGCACTGAAGATATCACCGCCTTGCCTGCCCAGCGCCGCCTCCAACACAGTCCGCACCTGCGTCCCATTACCCAGGAACACGGCGGCATCCTCTACAACTTCCAGTCTCACGTCCATCCAGAACTCCTGTCCTCAGCAAAGGATCGCGCCAAACTCCAGCGATCCCAGTCAATGCGCAGGGATCCGCATATTGTAGACTCCCTTGTCCGTCGCAAGTCGAGTAAACGGCGCAGAGAACATGATCACGTCCGCGAAGAGGAGATCCGCGCCATGTCTCTTGCCATGCCTCAGAAACGACCCGCTGGCAACTCTGCGAGTATGCTGCGCAGAGACAGCAAGAAGGTCAAGGGCGCCATCAACTACCGCCTCGAGCGCCCAACCTCGAATGTTTCCCTACCCCTCGCCGACTCGATCCACTCGTCCATGTCTGGTGGCTCAGACGGCCGCGCCTTTCGCGTGAGTGCACTCGACATGTTCTCACCTCGACCCACCATTCGCGTCTCCTACGGCTCAAACTATCATGCAGGCGACCGCACGTCGCCCAATGCACGAAGCGAAAAATCCCCACGCCGCGACCGACGACCAATTACCAGCAATGAGGAAAAGGCAAACCGGAGAACAAGTAGAATTGACGACTTGGCCGACGACCTCGACACCGGAGCACTCCGCGATATCCTCGAGCGAGACAAGAGGCGGAGAGAAAAGAAGGCCAAGGCTGATCAGGAACGTCTCCGCCGAAGGCTAGAACGACGTGCCGAGAAGCAGAATGCTGCTGAAGCCCAAGTCACGCCTGCAACTCCCCCCAAGGATAAGATCAGTAGTAAAGTTGGCCTGGGCATTGAGCGAGAGGCCCCTGTGCCCATGGAGGACGTTCGTCCATCGACACCAGTCCGACCTCAGCCAGTCGAGATGCCCATCACCCCTCCGACACAAGTCAATAACCAGTTGCCCACCCCATTCGAAAGCCCTGTTGAAGAACCCGTTGTATCCGATGCCCAAGCTATCCGCTTCTCTCGAGGCAGCGCCTCCACACAACTACATACCCGTGTCGTGTCCAATGCTTCCATACTCCCAGAACTCCTAACCGAGAAACTTGGCCACGACACTCCTATCGAGTTTGTGCACTTCCAAGAGCCCGCAAGGAGCGGATCGTTGCATCCGGTTGATACCATTGACACTACGGCGACCTCGAAGAAAGGATCTTCTATGCGTAGGCTCAGTACTGAGGGCAAGCGCTTGGGTGTGTTTGCTTCACTCTTCCGAAGAGGAAAGCGCAACTCGCAAGACCAAGCACGTCCTCCGCCTTCCGAAGCTTCCTTCTCCAACACATCGCGGGAATCCATGTCTCGCCAGCACATTCCCATTCACCTTGTCGGCACTGCACCTGTTGAGTCACAGCCAATGCAGATCAAGAGACCCTCCAGTGTACCTCGACGAACCCGATCAAAGTTTAGAGAAGATCTCCCCGAGTTCCCCATCTCACCTCCCGATTCCCGCGTGCAATCACCCGAAGCACCGGCCAGCACTGGCCTTGCTGCTCGCAGAAGAAACCAGCATCCGTCGGATATTCGTGTGGGACCGCCATCCGATGACCGATCTGATTCGCCCGTGAGTCCCAGTGTGCCTACCAACAACATGTCGCAGTCTCTTGCATCAGTCGACTCTGAAGCATCATGGCTTTCAGGAAGGCCGCTTAAACGGCCATCCAATCGGTCCCAAATGCGCTCTAGCCTCAAGTCTTCGGCTGTGATGCGTCACGAAGAATTCAATCCTTCCTACGAGGAATTGGGAATGGCCGATGACGAGTACTTTAAGAGACTTACGGGTATGCCAAACCAAAGAGGCTCTTCTCCTTACGGAAGCGATGACCGGGGCCGAAGAGCCAGTAGCACTTTGATGGCGCTTGACACTGCAGTCGAATCCGACGAGGAGGTCGAGTCCACTGTTGTAGCCTCGACAACCGAAGACGGAGACCAGCGTGTCCAGAGCGGCGTCGCCAGACAGCCTACTATAGTCTACCGTCGGCCTCGCATTCAGTCCACCGAAGGTCTTCTAAGCGTCTTCACTGAAGATACGGGGGATAGATCCTCCAAGGCGGCCGAAGTAGTGACGGGATCGCCCACCCAAGAGTCGCCAACATCACCGACATCAGATTCGGAGCCAATGGTGTTGCAACGTGCCAAAAGCGTTGATCTCGGCAAGCACCATGTCAGGCACCTCAGCGCTGGTTCGGCGAGGCTTCTGGACATCCAAAAACGGTCAAGCATACCGTTGGACGACATCTCACCCGCAAGAAGGCCTGAGCAGGAGTAAGACAACCGTTTTGTAAGAGCTTTTCTGATTTTATGACTTTGCATGCCTGCCACGCCACGCCATTCATTTTGCATTTTTCCTTTGTACCTTGATCTACTCACTCAGTCACTCGTTTACGATTTCCTTGATTGTCTCTCGTCTCTTGTTCCTTTTTGGCTTGGCAGCATGCGATTCATTGATCAGGAAAGCTCTCAAAATGGATGCAAGCTCCGTCTCGGACCCTTTTGTGGACATGGGTTGTCCTTTGCGCCTTGCATAGCGCGGCGTTTGTATTTTATTTTCAGGGTTTGGTTTTGTTTTATTGTGGTCTGTGATAGCACAAGCAGCTGCGGTCGGCTTCTGTGATACCCTCCTTATGGATTGCGATGTTGGTTTTGTAATTAATATTTTTTTGGAACACGGGCAGCATTTAGACGTGGGCAGTTAGGCCTAGTCTTTTAGGGTCGCCGCCTCATTGTATTTTCGGCGTGTAGACCTGGCGTTGTTAAGTCACTATCTCCATGAATCTTTTCTTTCAGGAAAGACTGTAATTTTAAGTTGAGCCGCACCAGTGGCTTTTGTACATCAGTCATTGAGCCCACCTGCTTGTGTAACTGTTTCTTTTCTTTTTATTAATTTCAATATAGAGATGGGTCGAGGTATGTCAGATTTCCAGTTCCCATCCATGACTTGTTACATGGCGCTTCCGAATGGTCGAGTTGCTGTTAGTCGACGTCGTTGTCGTGATTGTTGGATGGCCCGCCGCACGAGGCAGGACCCTGGTGGGGCAACTCGGGTCGTCGGTCGGCCAAGCACGTCATTCATCACTACAGCCCCTCCAGCCACCTGTGTACAGTAATCCGCCTTTATCAGCGCGCCTGACGCTATACATACCTAGGGAACTCGGAGAAATCCACCTTCACCTACCATCACAAATCCACTCAACCTCTGACATTGTAAGCAGCCCCTTTACGTTCCTGTTTGCCTCCCCGTCGTCCCGCTCCAGTGCACTACTGCGATTCTTGCATCTGCGCAGGGACTCCCAGGGCTTGCCGAAAAATAGGCGCGCCTCAGCATTGTAATCGGCAACGGCGGCGGCCAGTTCATTCCATTATCCCGAGCATTTGAAATCACCTTTTTCTTGCCGTCTCTCTTCTCGTCTAGCATATATTATGTTCGCGCCGTCATCGTTCAGAGTTACCAGAACACTACTCACATCTGTGCGTCTGCAAACAGCTTCCATCAACCCCACCTCAACCACAAACCTCTACCGACCACTCTTCACCCCGCGTTTCTTCTCAAACACCGCAAAAATGAGCGACAAAAAGGAGGGCGTCCACAACCTTACCACGTAAGTTTCTGCCCGTCGCCTTTCGCGCGACGTACGCAACGTCATACTTGGTAGCCGCAGCTGACGCGATGCGAACTGTAGCAAGGCCGACTTTGATGCCGCCATGAACGACAAGGATACCCTCATGGTCCTTGACTGCTTCGCAACATGGTGCGGCCCTTGTAAAGTGATTGCTCCCCAGGTTGTCAAGTAAGCTTCCACTCTAGTCGATTTACGCAGATTGCGCATCTCACACTGCGCTAGGTTTTCCAACGAATACCCCACCGCGCGCTTCTACAAGCTCGATGTTGACGAGGTCCCCGACGTCGCCCAGGAACTCGGTATCCGCGCTATGCCCACCTTCCTTCTTTTCAAAGGCGGTGACAAGGTCGCCGAGGTTGTTGGTGCCAACCCCAAGGCTCTCGAGGCCGCCATCAAGGCCAACCTCGAGTAAGAGATATATAGCCGCAATACACTCGGACTGTTCCCGCAATCATGGGTAATCTCACTCGACAGATGAGGCCTTCATATTGAATGGAGTTGCATTCCTTTGAGAACGATTGGGCAGTGGGCAGCAAGCGGGGGAATGCGGAATCATGATAGAGCTTTTTGAATAACAAAATAAACAAGTCCCCCCGTACTCTAGGCTTTTGATGGCCCATTACCCTGAAATACTGTGTTCTATCCGGAAACTGAATCACTAGACAGTCTTCACAGACGCGTCCAGGGTCGTACTTTTTCGTCCGCCGAAATACCTGTGGGAACCATTTCATAACTCACATGCTCAGCCCTACAAACGGATACGCAGAGGCACCCATATCCCACTGTGGCCTCCATTCCTTCCCTTGGACTCCCCCTTCCAACGCACTCAAAAGCCGACATGTCCAATCCTCTCCCAAACAAAGACTCCGGCACCCCCGTACAAACAGCACCTCACCCTGTCCAGTAAACAAATCAGCAAAGCAAAAATGCGTAATCCCCGTCGTCGTCGTCGCCGCTTGCCCATCCCGCACACGCTCTCGGCTCAAACCCTGCTGCTCACCCGCAACCCGCCTCATCCACTCTCCCCATCCACTCCCCTCGCGCCTCGCCAGCATAACCTGCCTTAGACAAAGCTCCCTTAGCGTACCTCTCTCCAGACTCTCTCTCAGAAACATATCGAGCCACTCTACCCGCTCGATTTTTATAACAGAGAGCTTACACACGACCAACTTGTCCAAGCAACAGTGTTTCGCTATTTCCTCAAAGAGATTCTGCTCAAAGTTACTGTAGCAGCTTAGTTCCAGGGACATTAGGTTGGTCATTTTAGATAGGAAGCGGACGATGAAAGGTGCACGGGGAGTCGTAGCAGAAGAAGAAGAAGAAGAAGAAGAAGATGGGGAGGGCGGTGGTGGTGGTGCGAGTTGAAAGCCAGATTCTTGTTCGCGCCAGTCGCGCAGGTTGAGCGCGAGATGGGTTAGCGAGGTGAATGTCTTGTCGAAGCAGGAGAGCAGTGGAGCGAGACTTTCCAGGCGCCCGATGCTTACGGCGCCGTGGTGGAATGGCTTGTGTAGTGCGATGGTGGAGAGTTGGATGTGAGGGGATGCGGCGAGGGCGGCGAGGGTGGAGACAAAAGGGCGCGAGGTCTCGCATTGGCTTAGTGCGCAGTATGTTCTTCCGCCTTTTACGAGCGAGGCTGGGAGACCTGTGTAGAGAAAAGTAATAGTAGTCAAGTTTCCCTGGGACATGTTTGCGAAGGCTTGTTTGAGCGTCTTTTGGTCGTATCGCGTTTCGTTGAAGAAGGAAGTGTTTTGCGCGGCTTTTTCTGCGGCTTGCGCCCACGCGTCTTGGAGTCTGCATTGTTCGGGGGATGCGGCGGTTTTAGAGGAAGAAGAGGAGGAGCTGGGGAAGGTGGTTATGTCGGTTATTTGTTTGGAGAGGGACCAGAGGAGCATCGAGTGTCGGGGGGTTGCGTCGATGATGAGGTGGCGGAGGGCATTGCCATATTGTGCGTGTAGCGATATTTGTACAAAGGTGTCCAGACTTTGTTTCGTCCAGGTTAGAGTGCGTTGCTGGAAGAAGCGGTCTTTGAAGAGGTGCGATGATGCTTTTGTTAGGGAGGATGTGGTAAGGCGGAATGAACGGGTGCTGGAGAGGTCCAGATACGAAGCAATGTGTTCGATGAGTTCGTTGGGGAGAGATGTCAATGTCATTCTGTTTGTATTAAGAAGAAAGATTCAAGGATATCGAAGGGGGGGCCCTTTAACAGAAAGATGGACCAAATAAATAGTAAACGTCAATGAATTGATGATAGTCCGACTTAGGTAACAAGAGCGGGGAACTCGTGGGACACGATGGAGCTAGCTGGTTCAGGTAGCGTACTTGCATATTTCCTAACCAGGAATATTGTTTTGGTTCCATGATGGTGGGGGGGGGGGCATTAAAATCCATGCATTCTGTTTTGTGGTAGTTATGTAAAGATGATGCTCCGGCTTACTGGTGAAGATTCCAGGCGGGGTTTTTTTTAGAGGACAATGGTATCTACAAGACAGATAACGCCGAGATCCTTGATCGAATGCAAATATCTTGGAAAAAATCACTCCGCCATCTAGTCGCTATCACTATTGCTGGATGAGTCACTGCTGCTGCTATCGCTCCCACTATCACTGTCGTCGCTGGAGCTAGTGGCATCCTTTGCAGAACCGGAGTCCGAGCCTGAGTCCGAGTCTGAATCTGAATCTGAACTCGAACTGTCATCGCTACTGTCCGAACTGCTCTCGTCACTTGAGATTTCGGATCTCCGCTTGCGTTTTCGCGCGTTTGATTTTGGTGGCTCGGGCTTGACATGCTGCATCAGCGGATTTATAACGGGCTTTGGTGGTGCCACGACTGGTGCAGTGTGCCCTAAAGCGTTGAGAAGCGCCTCGGCTCGGCGTCGCTGGAGTCTTCTAATAAAACCAGGGCTATACGGATGTTCTGCAAAGGCGGCCATATCACCGTCAGTCTTCCTTCTCTTTCTTTCCTTGGCGATGCGTTCCTGCTCGGCCTCCTCCTGAGCTACTTTGCGGGCTTCTTCATCGTCCATTTTTGCGTCTTGCTTGTCAAGGTCGTCCAGTGTCGCGTGGCAGCGCTGACGCAAGCGGTCAATAACACCTGCTCCTTGAAGTCCAGCAATGTATGCTGCCAGTGCCTCAGAATGCTCCACTGGAATCCGGAAAATGTTCAAAGCATTGTCGACAACATCATTCTGCTTGGCCTTGTTGAACTTCCAGTTGCTTCGGTCGTTGTAGTATTGGGTGAGGTAAGCGATGTAGATGGACGGATCCTTTTTCTTACCCTTTGGTGTGGGCGCAATTTGTGAGGTGGCTTGCTCGGCGTTGGGCTTTGACTTTTCCAGCTTTGACTCGTCCTGCTTGGGAGTGGGTTTCTCGGCCTTTGCGGGCTGAGGCGATGGCTTTTCTGCTAGTCTAGTCTGCTCGCTTTCCTGCTTCTTCTCGAGCTGTCCGTTCTTCCTTGCCGTCTTCTCTTCGTCGGCAATCAATGCATGCAGGACAAAATTCGAGACCTCTGGTGGCTGAGATACTTCTCCAGTGCCTTTCTGTGACGCAACCCAGGCTTTGAAGTAATCCTGTCCGGTATTGCCGTCGGACTTTTTAGTGTCTGGGGTAAATGCGACAGATTTCCGCGGTGAAGCTGAGGGGTCTTTGCGGCTTTGCTTTGTCAGTGGCTTTTGTGGAGTCGCAATTGGGTCTGCACTATTTGTCTCAGTGGATGCAAGTAAAGTTGGGCGCTCTGTTGCAGTCGTAGGTGATGCACGGCTGGGCTGGGAGTGCGGCTGGAAGCCAGCATGCTGAGCGTCTTTAGTTGCTTTTGGGCGTTTGGCTGGTTTTTCCTTCTTCTTCCGATAATTGGAGTCTCCCTTGGTAGGCTTTGCTGTCTCTGGGGCCTTCTCTGGGACAGTCTCAGGAGCCTCAATTGACGTATTTTGGTTGATTTGAATGTCGGTAATAGCGATCCGGCTCTTTTTGGTTTCTTGATGATGGGGTTCATCTTGGTGTTTCCGCTTGCCAAGCTTGGCCGCCTGATCGCTTCCATCCAGCTCAATGCCTAAGGCAGATTGCTGTGGAGCATTGGAAGGAGTTTGATTTTCAGACACGGCGACTCCGGCGTGCTCTTGGTTCTTGAGGGCGAGGCCCAGTCTCCGCCAGGCGGGAATTCTGCCCGCGTCTTGGGCCATGATCGAAAGAGGAATATGGCTATGTGCAACTGAAGATGCAGAAGTTAAAGGGCATCGCGCATGACCGAATCAGCTGGAATAGGGCGTTCGTCAGTATACAAAGGTCGAATGAGAAGTCGCAGGCAGAGAATTTCGGGGCTGATGCTAGGGATGCACGGGCCAGGTGACGGCGATCCCAGAAGCTCCAGGCCACAAGCAACGCGTAGTTGAAGCAGCGGTAGCCAACACCAGTAACCTCTGGCCTACATCCAGACCCGCGCCTTTTTTCAACACACCGCATATTTCCGGGACCTGCTGCGGGAGCTGAAGCTGAAGACGAACACTACAAATATCAACCAAATCCACCACCCGCTACCGCCTTCATCATGTCTGGTCCGTAGCAAGCTGCCCACCAAGCTACATAGATGCTGACAGCGGTGGCCACTATGTAGGAAGCGCAGGCTACGACCGACACATTACCATCTTCTCGGACCAGGGCCGTCTCTACCAAGTCGGTATGCAATCCATTGCCTGTCCACACACCGCCGGGGCAGCCACCATTGCCAACTGGCTGGCTGCCCGCTGCTGTGTCCTCGTTGACAACCAGATGCTGACCCCGCAACACCAGAATATGCATTCAAGGCCATCACCGCTGCAAACATCACATCGCTTGGCGTGCGAGGAAAGGACTGTGCGGTAGTCATCTCGCAGAAGAAGGTGCCTGTACGTGTGGCGCATGCGAGGAGGGGCCGGCACCGTGTATACTGACATACCTCCAGGACAAGCTCATTGACCCCAGCTCAGTCTCGCACATCTTCCGGCTATCGCCCTCGGTTGGCTGCGTCATGACTGGATCCATTGCCGATGCGAGAGCCTCAGTGAGCAGAGCGCGGGGTGAGGCTGCCGAGTTCCGCTACAAGTACGGCTACGAGATGCCCTGTGATGTTCTGGCAAAGAGGATAGCCAACATCAGCCAAGTCTACACTCAAAGGGTATTGCATGAGATTACGTACAAGCATGGGTCAATTGATTACTGACAGAGGGGCAGGCTTACATGCGACCACTAGGCGTGGCTACCACGCTCATCTCGCTCGACTCTGAATACGGACCCCAACTCTACAAGTGCGATCCTGCAGGCTACTATGTCGGTTACAAGGCAACAGCATCGGGCCCAAAGACACAAGAGGCGCTAAACTTTCTTGAGAAGAAGCTGAAGAACAAGGAGCATGCCGACGGCAACTGGGAAGAAGTGGTCGAGCTTGCCATCACCGCACTGAGCACTGTCTTGTCTGTTGACTTCAAAAAGGGAGAGTTGGAGATTGGCATTGTAGGAGGACCCAAGGCGGATGGCGCGGAGGGTACAGATCCCGCCTTCAGGGCGCTCACCGAGGACGAGATCGACGAGAGACTTCAGTCAATCGCAGACAAGGACTAGGAAACAGCAAACATGGGGCTGCAAGGAGGGTGTGGGGCGCTCAGGTACGGCCGCACAATCTAAAGCATTACGATATTCACAGGTAGCATGACACGACCTCTTATACGCCAGAAGTGCTCGAGCAGCACGATGAATAAAGACGTTAGACTGTACTCTCCTGCCTAAATGAACCGTGAGCGAGTCACCAACGCTGGGCATGAACAAAAAAAGAAGTGCGCGAGCTCAGCCATGAGGCCGCTTGACTGGTATGCCCATTCGCCCATGGCCCCAGATTCCCATAGCCTCTCAGCTGCCAACGGCTGGTCCTCAACTCGTGAGCAGCATCCTCGACGTCATCTGACTGGCTCACAGCATTCGGAGCGCCCAGCACAGCCGTCGCGTGGCTGACACCGCCTTTGCGGCTTGCAGCCGTGGCTTTGGCGAGCGTTGTGCGTCCCTACGCACTGATGCTCCATTCCCGGACATACCTTTCAGGTTCACCCTCAGCGGACCAGCACGCGATGAACGCACCGCTAATCACACTAGAGCCAATCGCCGCCTTTGCTGAGACTAGGATACACAGCCTGGCATCGCTGCCTTACCCGATTCAGGCCCCTAGAGCTGGCCCGCTAAACCCAATTCTCCATGTGGCGCACCTCGCGCTGCTGAAGTCAGTCAACACTACGCTGTCCACTCCAGCTGGGATGCCGCGGTAGCGGAGCACCGAAAAAACCAACTCGCTATGATGCAGGCGCACGGTTCCTGCATGCTGCGTTTCCCCATTGTAGCACCGATGGATACTCATGGCGATGCTAGTATGCCCTCGTCCTCTTCCTCCAAGCCTCGACATACTCTATGCCGGCCGCTGAATGGTGCGAGCGGAGACGAACCTAGTACAGCTGGAAGCGACTCACGCTCTCAAAGTGGAGCTCGGCACCATGTAGCGGCGGGAGTAGCCCTGCAGGGAGGCTTCTATTCTCTACCCAAGCTATCAGAACCTCGCCCATGGCCCTACTACCTTCACCGTAGCAGGAGTGTGCATCTGAGGACATATGACTATTTAACACTCCTTACGCCGCGCCTCATTCTTCCGTACAAGACAACAAGCCTCGATTCATTCTTCGATATACTACACTCCTTTCTACACATTCGTCGCCAGCCGACCTTTACTTTGAAATCTAATATTCATCATGTCTGACGGTCGTAAGGCATCCCTCAACTCTTTTGGAGCCCATCACTGCATCTTCGAGGGAGAATCTATCAACGACTTCATGCTAACATTTCAAAGTCAACGATGCCCGCGCCGTCCGTGTAGCGGAGATAATGACTGATTTCCGCAACCTCCAACACTACCTTGTCCAAATACGCGCCACACCGACAGCCGAGGAGTACTACCTAGATGGCTACTCTCTTCTCCGACAGTGTACGAGTGAGGCTCAGGCTATCCTCCAGACGCCATTCGCCAGCAGCACTCCCTCGGGAACAGGTGACCTCGAATATGAGAAGCGGCAATTGAAGGCGTGAGTGGTTGCTTTGGGGGGCCTCCTGATAGCATGCTAACATAGAGTTCACAGTATTATCGTGGATGCAGCTGTACGCCGCTTCCGATGCCAGCGTGCCTACCTTCGAGCCAACGCTGGTCTCCGTTGGATGAACAGCCGTCAGAGCATCTTGCGTGGCGAGAAACCTAATGCTAGTCATATGGCAGCATTGCAGCAAGCTGATGCCACATTGAGGAATGTACGTGAAATACTTCCCCTGTCCACCCCGCCTCGGGGAGCTGGAGGCCTTCCCTGAAGGATGAAAGCGCTTCACAAAACTTGGAAGACTAAAAGATCATTATCCGGACTTGAAACATGGGCTGACAAGCGAGCAATAGGAGCTCATGGCCATGACAGACGCATACGTTGAAAATACCCTCCGTGCCGCAGATGCAGCGCAGCAAAAATGGCTCAACGATGATCCCTCGCTTGCACAAATTCAGCAGATCATTCTGTCTCAACAATAAGCGATGCCCCGTAACGATAATGTCTCTCGACTTTGGATACCCCCATTATACTCCCCGGATACACGCCGCCTACTCTGGCGCCATTCATGACTCTGCGCTACGATATCATGCTGCATAACGGTCGCCTCGGCATCGGACGAATCCGCCTCCTCCTATTCGCTCCACCCATCATGATTCCAGATATCCCTTTCCTTTCGGATTTCTGCCAACTTTTTTTTTTGATGGCAATCACCCTTTCTCACTCGACAACAGTGCTGGCCACGCCCCATTTTTTTCTCCCTTTTACAAGCATAAAACGTTATACATGTCAGTTTTTTTTGGTCATGGTCGGTCTTAGCGCTTGCGTTGGCGTTGGCGTTGGCGTTCAGCTAGTCCAATCCTTCGGGATATGTCATTTCTTACTGGAAGGTGCACGCGGTCGGTAGTATGCATCCGCTAATGAGGATATGCTGGAGAGCGAGTAACGAGTGAAGTTTGTGAACTCTACATCGCTTGATTTCCTCGGCTCGATTATCTTGTATTACCAGCACTCTGGATTTCACTCTTCTCTCCTCCTCCCTGCCCCTGTCCTGTTTTCTTTCCTTCTGTGTCTAAATTTATATTTCGTTTCTCTTCCTGTCCATATACTCATGTATTGAATATATACAACAGTTAATTACCATTTCAAATATTCACTTATCCACCGTTACGAACGCTTGTGCTGAAGAAAGACCTAAGGGAAAAAAAGCCCGAAAAGCATCTAGAAGCCGTACATGCCGAACATTTACGTGGTACGCCGCAGCGCCAGAACTACACGTGAACTTTTTCTTGTTCTCAGCCTTAACTAGCGCGGCTAGGGCTACTAGTCTTGAGCTTCGCAAGGCACTACGCACCGTAAAACATGATTCAGGTTCAGCTCGACAGGCGCCGCATGACACGCAGCGGGCGAGCATGATGGGACCATTATCGGATACCGCCGTTGTGGAACCGAGCGGTCATGATCGTTTAGGCGTGTACTCTTCACCTTTCCCCCCACTACCGCTCCACACCTGGTGAAACTGCTGCCTTGAAACTATGCAATAATAAGCCACAGAAAGCGAAATAAGTCTACTGGATAATAGAGAGCAAACGTGACGCATGCCGTTGGCCGAGATGGTGCGAAATGACGATATTTCAGCTCATATCGTCTGCAATCGCAGGGCTGAACTTTTTATCCTTGCGATCCTTGCGGATCGAAGGCAGACACACTTTGCAAAATGTGGCCCTCTCTATCCTTCCTCAATCCTTCGTCTCGTTCGTCTCTCTCATCTCCCCGCAGAACCAAACGTCTTCCACAATCCGCCTGGCCACTAACCTCCGCAAAAAAGGAAAGCTATTGGGGGCGCGGAAACCGTATATACCGAACAGAACCCCTCAAAATAGTACACAACGAAAGAGGAAACGATAAACAAGAGTGATGTGCAAAAGTAATAAGAAAGCATACTTGAAGAAAAAAAAACGCCTTTCTTCTTCTTGCGGAACGCAAGATGCCGTAACCAACCACAGCCAAACCATCTACTCTTACAACGTCCTCCGCATTTACTTTGCTTTTCATCTTCCCAGAATATCTTCCAACAGAAACTTTAGAACAGGGGATCTTTTTTTTTGTTTCGATCTTTGCCCGCCCCCATCGCACAATTCACAATCCCAGATCCCGTCCTCGCCTCAGGCATAACAACGGCATGTCCCGCCCACTCGCCTCGCCACGTGATTTTCCCCATCTTTTCCAACCTCCCCTCGCTTCGAGGTGTGTGTGTGTGTAACCTTGCACCTACACATACTACTTCCGTGTAACATTATCCTTTCTGTGGCGCTTTTTTGTTATTATTATTATTATCTTATCGCGTATTGCGTGTATGCGCCGTCTGTGTGTGTAAGTATGTGGTGTGGTGTGTCTGTGTCCCGTGTGGGGCTTAGATGGGAAGGATTGCGAGAGGTGCAGGAAGCTAGTTTGCTTTAGACGAGAAATTGTGCCATGTGTGCATGTCATGGTAGTACATGCATATTCGGGGATCCCGAGAGCCGCAGGGCTGGGGAATCTTAGCGGGGGATTTTTGCGTCATTTGGGGATTTTCCTGGGATTTTGTTGTGGAGGAGACTGGCCTGCTGGGGGAGGAGGCTGTGTGATTCTTTTTTCTTTGAGGGTGTGATGGATGGGTGGAAGTTTTATTTTTAGCTATGTATGTAGGTATTGCTATCCATGTTCAATGGTATTATCGTAGGGTTGAATATGGTCAGGTGGTTTTCCGTATCTCGTTGGCTACTACGTATCGCCGTGCGCTTACTCTGAAATCCTACCTACTACTATCCAAATCCTCTCGCTGCCTTCGCATCAGTTCTTCCAACTCAACCCTTTGTCTCGTTATCAGTGCAAGCGTATTCTCTACCCTCGTCTCGCGCTCTTGAAGCGCTGTCTCCCACCTTAGCAAGTTCGTGTACTGGACATCTAGAAACCGCTGTCGCTCGTCTAGGTACTGAGCGTGAGCCTCGGGAGTACGGAATGACTGAGAGATTCTAGTGTGAGGTTGTGGGTGACCACCGCGAGGTCTGGTCACTCTACAATCTGCGCCGGAACGTCGAGTACCAGTCTGTGCATGCGGAGAAGCAGGCGTCACGGCAGATGAAATGGTATTTTGCTGTTGACCTGCACCCATCAAGTCCTCACCAGGCGTGGCGCGATGCTGCCCGTCTCGAGCACTGGGCTCGTCCCGTGCACGCGCCATTCCCCGCGTAACATGGCCAGTGAAGCGGTCGCCCCTAACCGCGACTTCGGGTGCAGTCCCGTTCACGGCGGTTCGGAAAGCGTTCAATGCGCGCACGTTCATGAAGCGGTTGAGCGTGTTCGTTCCTGGTGTGTTGGCGGAGATGGCTCCTCTCCTTCTTCTTCTAGACTCAACTCTGTTGGTCTCGCTTCCACCACCAAGCTGGCTCTCCTCATGACCGTGTTGCAATCGATCCTGGCGTCTGTTTCGGTTGGTCCGATCCGCTCCTTGGTTATCTGCTCGACGCCGTATATCAGCGATATCGGCCGTTAGGTCTTCGTAGATCCGGACTTGGGTTGCATAAGCAGCTTCTTCTTCCTCTTCCGAGTCGCCATCTTCCGATTCCTCTGACGAGTCAATAAGGACGGACTGATCTTGGTCCTGCCATAATGGCGATGAGTGTGTATCAGTTCGTAGCCCACCTCGATTGTGACTTCTCATAGGGTGCGCCGTGTATCCGGGTGGAAGCCGATTGTGTGAACTAGAAACTTCTCCGCCCATACTCAGGAGCGGGTTTGTCATTGCTCTTATATTAGCAAGACTTCGATCTTGTGCAGCGAAATGGGGGGCAGAGCCAAGTATCCAGACTGTGCGACACAACGGGCATTTTTTCTCATCTCCGGGATGGTGATCGAGCATTTTTTCCAAACATGTGCTGCCAATGCGGTGGTTGCACCCTATGATTCCTATAATTTGGAGACAGGCTTCAGTGATATAGCTGTCCAGGCAAATGGGGCAGTCATCCGAGTTGGAATGTGGAGTGGATGGTCTAGTGTGATTGGCTACAAATCCCACAGCAGTTGTTGGGTGTATGAACAAGGCTGGTGCTGTAAATACCGTGGGAGATGGAGGACGTGCGGGTCCGTTATATGCCGGGTCCAGCGCAGCGGGGTGAATGCAAGCATAGTCTGAGGGGTTTGTTCGAATGTACACAGGTGATGAAGTACGATTAGAGGTTTCCGGACGGAGGTTTGGATGTGCCATGTTGAAAACCTCGGGTATTGTGCGGTTGTGTACTCAGGCTGATGTGTGGTTGAGGCGGGGAATTGAGGAGGTGGGATATCCGGCTTGACTGCGGCACCATTTAAGTGTTGGGGCGAATGGTAGTGAAAACATCAAACATACAAGGGTTTTGGTAGGGGTTTTATGACCCGTGTTTGCGTCACTGTTATGAAAGTGAGACTGACCAGATTCGGGGTAAGTGAATGAAAGTGACCTGACAAAGTGCTGCCTAATGAAAGGTGAAGGCAAGATACACTGATGGCTTGTAAAAATTATGTGAGTTGGCTTTGTAATGAAACTTCAGCACTTACTGTTTGCTGTGCTGGCTTTCAATTCACACTAGAAAAAGTGATAATCGGTAATGAATGAAGACGTTGGACTAGGAATGTTCGAAATACTGCCTTACTTGGGGAGTGTCTGAAGAAATGAGTAGGAGTGAGTGTAGATCCATGAATAAAAAGATAGTACTCAAGAGATGTACATGAATTATGTTGGACTACTTTTGTGCAATGGCCAAGCAATGTAGACTTGCTTGATGCCAGTGTCTTGACCCGGCGCAGTGATTTATGAGATTATGAACAATCTACCTATACAAAACGCAACTCTGTGTTAAACCCATAAGCGCCGAATGAAGGCCAATAGGTCTATTGACATGAAACAGTCGATCCAGCCCCGCGTTTAGTGAAGATGACATGTGGCGCGGCTTGTGGCGGTGCTTTGCCGGGTATTTGCTTTCCGCAACTTTATATCGATGACCACCATCGTCGTGGACATGGTTGCGGAGAAAAATCATGTGGCTATTTGCTCGCAAAACCCTTGTTGGGAACATGTTGCATTTATCTTAACTGCTAATTTGGACCAGGGTCATTGGACACCGCATGCGCCACATATCGAGCTATGTGTGAACAGGCCGCAGTTTCCTAGTCTGGTCCAAGAAGGCTGAGTTTGATCATCAGTCAATCGAGTTGTAAGCACCAAGGCACCCATTATTCGAAGGTCTAGACCATGGTGTAGTAACAATGTAATCAGATATACACCTATGATAGCTGACCGCTTGCTTATTCGTGGAAATTCCGGGGAGCCTCGATATTGTTCCGTCTTCGTCCAAGCATTTGGCACTTTCTCTCCGAAACCTGGAGTACTCGAAGCTAATGCAATGTGCTGCACGCAAGTCACAATGCACCTAGAAATGCTAGTTGCCCTTCTGTTCACTACTGAGCTAGTTGTTACGTAGTGGGACGGGGCGCCAGAAGGTAGGGATAAAGATTAACTAGGATGATTTGGTGGCCTTGTGCAGATATATTGATTGTATTATCTCCTTCGTGGACCAGTCTAGTTTTTCAAGACCGTAGAATTGATGTTCCTCCAGTCAAGAAAGTCATGTGATGTGATTAGGGATTGCTCATATCATACGTAACATAAAGGAGACACCGCATGCGGTTACTTATTTCTCAAATAAAACCTTGCAAATAGCTATGATCTTTTGGTCATATGGCGTGAGATTTCTGTCATGTTAGTTATCATGTTACGAAACGCTGTCATGCCCACGATATTGACTACTGCATGCGTATATGAATTCTGCACCATGCTCATTCTTGTGAGCCTTGACTTACAGAGCCCAGAAATATCTAGTGTACTCACATGCATATGCATCCAAGTAATTCTGGCCAATAGTTGGTTTTGGCGCAAATGGCAACCCTATGTGGATCAGACATTCGCGCAAGCCCGATCTGCGTATTCCAGAACTCTTGGCTGAGGCGAGGTTTCAACTCAAGCCAATCACTTTTATGTATAGTACAGTTTTTAATTACAAGAGTCGTCCATGGTTGTTGGATTACAATATGTACTTTCTCAGAGTCCGCGGGCCTTTTGTTTTGCTTCAACGATGTCCAAGACGTCTGTAGTATTGTAGCATTATTTGACCTTCTTTTGTAAATACCTACTTGAACCATCTGTATGAACATGCAAAGTGGCGAAATGGCGGTTGGCGGATTAAATTGTCCGAAGATAGGTGATGGAATGTTCGCAGCCCTCAGCCTTGCATTTGTACAAACAACACGCTAGTATAACCAACCATAAGGTGTTCCAGTTTTCTGTGTTATAAACGTCTTGGAATGCAACCCCTAACATCAATCGTTTCCTTGGCTGCACTGTAGCGTCGGGCGGAGGATCCACTGCCAAGCGAGTACGATAACCATGTGGAGTTCCGCGAATGAGCTGCGGAGAAACAAAGGGTGGAGCTCCTGATTTGGTAAGATGGGTAGGCTAGAGTTTTTGAGGAGGCCTCAACAGTAGGTCTGGTGAAGATGAGGTAGGAAGGTGACAGAGCGATGATCAACTACTTGGGAATGCGAATGAGACCCGCCGGCTAAGTCTTCCATTCCTCAGCATAGCCAATTTACTTTTAAAGCTTTCATAACAACCTCCATTAATTCAGGGTTCATTCGCTTCCTGGATCAACAAATTCACAATATCTTGACCTTATTTTCAACATGAGATTTGCCGGACTCGTCGCTGTCATTACAGCTCTCCTTCCTACAGCTCTTGCCTGCAATGGATACACTGGAGGTGTACCTGCTGCTGTCGGCACCAAGACCAACAGCAAAGTCATTGAGATCGCGGCTGGCCAGACCTTTGACGGTAAATGGTACAGGTATGATCGTGGTAGCGGTGCCTGCTCCGGTCAGACCGAGGGAGGGGCTTCGGACGCTGTATTCTTGCTGAAGGAAGGTGCCACTCTCCGCAACGTAATCATTGGAAAGAATCAGGTGAGTCTCATTCACAGAAAACAGCAGAGAGGACACCAATTAATTCGCCTTAGGCCGAGGGTGTCCATTGCCAGGGCCATTGCCGTCTCGAGTATGTCTGGTTCGAGGACGTCTGTGAGGACGCTATCTCCATCAAGTCGGACAAGCCGGGCAAGGAATCTTGGATCATTGGTGGCGGTGCCTACCACGCCTCAGACAAGGTTGTTCAGCACAACGGCTGCGGTACCGTTAACATTATCAACTTTTACGTCAACAACTACGGCAAGCTTTACCGCTCTTGCGGAAACGTAAGTCTTTTCGATCCAGTTACAAGCCTCACGGAACTGTGACTGACCAATCAAATAGTGCTCCACGCAATGCAAGCGTAACGTTTACATCGAGGGTGTTACTGCCGTCAAAGGAAACGAGTTGGCCGGCATTAACAGCAACTACGGCGACACTGCTACTCTAAGAAACGTCTGCTCTGACGCAAAAGTCAAATGCCAGATGTATACTGGTTGTGCTGGTGGCTGCGAGCCCCAGAAGGCTGGTGTTTGCTCTGGCTAAGCTTACTCAGATGTTCAAGCCGTGATGTGACCCTGCAGCCAGTTGCAACGCATGATGTGATATGAAAATTGGGCTAGGTCTTTGTTCTTGTGAATACTTGTTGCTTTGTAAATAGCCTCTTCTTCTTCAGTAAATATGCAACCACGCTTTGTTCCACTGAAGCACACATAATTGATACAAAACCCGTTAACCGTTTCCTCCCACATCGTTCTGATTACTGATGTCCAAGTTCACGATACCTGAAGTCAATCTAGTGGGTTTCTCACGCTGTAGCTATTTACGACAGATAGTGGTGAGTAAAGTGGGTTTTTCCTGCTGAGGAGCTTTTTTTGTCTTATAATTTAGTATGTTGGCTCCACTGGTTTCTTGGATGCTTATCTCTCACAAAAGCCAAGGACCATTTCAGAAATTATGCACACGAGTCCTGCAGAAACTCGCAAAGGAATGATATTAACTACTAGTAATTCTAATAAACATCCAAGGAATGTAGATATTCGGAACAAAAGACAAAAACACCAAAGCGCTATGCAAAGTAAATGCTACTCATAAGGAATGTCCTCGAAGATCGTCACCAGCCCCCATCTCTATGCTCCATTACCGAATCATCCATTTACAAGAAGCACTCGATAGTGAAGGCAGTAACATCGGTCTCAATAGCCTTGTCAACGTTGCCGTCGAGGTCGACAAAGGTGTTCCAGGAGTTAAGGACCACACCGAAGGCTGGGGCGGCAGGGTCAATGAGGACGCATTGCACGTTGTTGCCGCCGGCACCGGGGCTCACGGCTTGGATTGAAGTAGCGAGGACCTTGGGGCCAAAAGCAGCACCGAAGAGCTGGCCGAATGTGCGGGCTCCGCCGTTGACGGGGACATCGGCGTTGGCGTTCTTGCCAGAGAGGTCGTTGGCGAGTTGAACCGTGAAAACGGGGGAAGCAGAGCGGGCGGTCGCTGGGGCGGCAAGAGCACCGGCGAAGAAGAGAGCAGCAGAAGAGATGATCATGGAGGCCTTCATTTTGATGGTTGGAAGTGTTGTTTGGTGAAAAGTTGAAGAGAGAGGATTGGAAGATTGGAAATGGAAGATGGTAAGAAAGTTGTTCTTGTTGTAGAAGCTGTGTTGGAATGTGTTGTGATGATTCTCTGTTCAACGCAGAATTCTGTCTCTCTTATACTTCTCTCTGTTCGTGCAGCCTCGGTGTGGCATCTTGGAAATCCATTGATGGCTTTGCCTGAGCAATGCCTCAGTGCTACACCGCAGGAATAGCAGTCAGCAAAGTTGGTACTCCACCCACAGCTGCGCTCAGCTTTGCTCACGTTTTTTGTTTCTCTCATGTCATTCAACTTCTTAGTGCGCCATCATTCTTGTCAAGTCTCACTTTTGGTGGAGGCTGTATACCGTATTACTCTGGAGGGCGTATGAGAAACGGTCAAGCAGACCGCTTTCTGAATGGCTAGCCTTACCATATAGCTGATGCTTACAACATCATATTTGCCAGCGCATCTGGTATAGTCTCAAATTATTGCCAAAATTGGCTAGTGTCTGCTCATATTTTCAGTCTTCATTCACGGCTGAGTTGCGGTCAGCTGACTCTCCATTGGTCAAGTAAGCGAAGAACAATCGCTATATTTATTCTCGGGCTGATGTTCTTCGCATGTGGCGTCCGTTTTCGATTGGTGGCCTGTTCTGGGCGTCGTAAGATCTTAGCGAAAGGTGGGGAAGTGCCATGGAGGCTGAGCCATCAGCTGCGCCTCTTCGGTAGGATCCGATGTTATTTGGTATGTTTGGTATACTTCAGAAGCCACCATGGTTAGCATATAGTCGTGTGCCATTTTCCAACGCAACTGCCTTGCTATGGCCGCTATAATGGGACGGGATTCGGTTTACTCTAGCAGAAAGCCGTCACGCACATCACGCACAGAATGGCATGCATTTACACCTTGTTCATGTGGAACACTGCAAACATGAGCAATGGACGAAGAAAAATTGAACGAAATAATCAGCTGCTTTGTCGAGATATCATCTCTCTTGTTATTAGTCAACAAATACACCTGGCAATGTCTCGAAGTTTGTAATTGCACTCAAACGAGACTTGCAAAGATTACTCACTAGGGGTACAAACTCGAAGAACCGACGAAAAAGACTTCGTTTACGTTGCTTCTATTGATCGCTAATCGCCTTTGTTTAAGTTCTTCTGAGGAGATTTGATGATTATCCAACTTGAACTTTGACAAGTTTTCACGTGAGATAAGTCTGTCTCTTCGCAGGCATGCAGGCGGCAAAGCTTATTCTTGTCTCGTCAAACTACCGTTCATCATCAACAATATTCACGTGAAAATAAAATCAAGGATTCCCGAGTATGAGTTCAACAAAGTCGACTGCCGTCTTTTTGTCCATCTAAAGTACATAGCACAAACGACCCCGCTGCATCCCCACCCCCGCCTTGCCCGCCAACCCCGCTTCATTCACACATGTACTCCAACTCCAACCGGACGAATACCCTGGCCCTTGTAGAGCAAGTCGCACCATCACGCCATGTGGTGGCAATATGTAGTACCACCACAGCATTTCAGAATTTAGCCCAGCGCTGCGCCAAGTGACCGCGTTACGGCCATCAGAGTTGTTATACCACGCTTGGCAGTTTCATCAGGGGCCTTAGTATACTTGTGCTTTCTGCTCGAGCAGACTCCAATCGGAGCTCGAGGCAAGGAAATATGCATTGACTAGGGCAGCAACGACAGCAAATAGTGAAGCGGATGGCGAGGTTCTCTCGCCATGTTCCGCGTGCTGCAGGGAAGATGACTACATACATATGGAGCTACATACATGAGCTGACTTCACTAAGTATATCCGTTCTGCCGAGCGCAAGGCCAAGAATTTGGTAGGGAAGGGAGAGGATAGAAAGTTGAGTCCAGGTAGCAGCACGTCAGTAGCCCTCGACATCTCACCATCAACCTTTGACTAGCCTATACTACGTCAATTAAATACCGGATTGCGCAAAACACTAATGATGGGCAGATGAGTTGGAGTAAATTCTTCTTCCAGACCGAAAAAATCAAAGAATCTTCAGTGAAATCCCTGCACGACACCGTGACGGCACGGTTTCACGCGATGCAGGGCCCCAAGACGCATACACAGGCATGTTACAATTTTCGGAAATGTACAATGTCCAAAAGTCGATGAATATCGTAGTTTCGGATGCCTTGTCTGTTGTTTGAAAAGCCGCCTTCTAATCCGAGATTAGAGTGTTTTACAAATTGGATACTGGGGATACTGTAAACGTTTCAAGATGACCTCGAAAAGAAGACTCGAAAAACATCATCGTAACAAGAAGTCCGTCCAGGGCATTCAAGATGCTGAAGAAAAGAATACTGAATGTGCACACATTTAGGCAAGACAATCAAAGTATAAACCCCCCATAAATTTCACTTCAACAAAGTCACCTATACCCTACCCTATAACATATTTACAAAAACCCCCAACCCCCAATCATATCCTCCCTCATCCCAAACCTCCCCTCACCAATTCCAAATACCCATCTACTGGGGTGGCGCAACAGGCGACGGCCTGGGCGGAATTGATGCTACCCAAGAAATCAGCCTACTACTCTATCCCTTGCTTAACCTTTAACAAAAGAAAAGATAAAAACTTACGAAAAGCAGGGGGCGCGCCCGTAGGTCTCGGCGGAGCCCCACCAGTAGGGAATCCAGGAAAGCCGCCTGGCGGGAATGAAGGTACACCGCCGCCGGGGAAGCCGCCAGTCGGGCGAGGAGGAAAGCCTGTAGGCACGGGGCCTGTAGGGCGTGGTGGGAAGCCCGTTGGGAAGGCAGGGGGAGTGCCGCCGGGGGGGCCCGAAGGGGTTGGTCGGGGCGGGAGACCGGTCGGGGGAGAGACTTGGCGTTCGATGAGGGGGGCGGCGAGGGCGCTGGGTATGTTAGTGGAGGGGATTTTTAGGGCGGGAGGGGTAGAGGGGGTAGGGATGTACCTGGTGGCCAGGAAGAGGATAGTTGCGAACTTCATAGTTGAGAATCGAGACAGTAGTTGTAGTAGAAGCTAGATTGTAGTAGAGATAGCCGGAGAAGCTTGATGGTGGTGAAAGAAGATGGCACTGAGATGGTGCTCTTTATACATCTCTCATCGCGTATCGATTTTCCCAAAGGCACTCAGTGAAAGTCATGTTCTTGGGTGCCAGTCGCCCAGTGTAAAGTGCTTTCACGTCGATCTATCCAAAAGCAAGGTCTGATAGATGAAAGGCTAATATAGCAGGTGTGGTATCCAAGATGTCGTGATTAATAAATCCATCAAGCTCAGACTTGAGTAAATTGGCTTCCTTGCCGAAATCGCTGGCCGATGTGCCTTTTTGAAAGCAAATGACGTTTTGTAAATGTTCTGTTGGGGGATGCTGTGCCAGGTCACTGCAATTAGACGTCAATCAATTGCAAACATGGTCGAGGTAGGAGGCCAGATTGAGGGTCTTTGTACAACCATTATCAGAGACGAACGATGGTGGACACGGTGGAAAAGGATTGGTAACCAAGCGTTTGTTCAAGCCCCCTCGGCAGTTGCTTCTTGATTGCTATGTAGCAACTAATCCAAAAGGAAGAATGCTTCTGTGCGCGGAGAATTGACATCGAGACCACGTACCCTCAATCTAAAATTTGAAGACGTGTTGCGGCCTAGACTATTGCGACAGGCCGGTTTAGCCTTTTTTTGTTGTCCCAGGAGATGGGATAGGCCGATCGAATCTACATAGTAGTTCTTTGTGTAGTGAGGTGATATAAGGCGTGATGCATTTACATATAGTGGGTTATGAGCTCATATCAATGTACAGAGATGCGTTTTGTGTATTGCTATTCACAAGGTTCAAGTGACGCCATTGCCAAGATGAAATCAACATAAAATGCATCAGGAAAAACGACAATTTCGTCTGTCAGATGATTATCAGTCAGTTGAAGTAAGGACTAAGATGAAATTGATACTGAACTGTACCAAACTGATGTATTACACAAAATAGGCCCCAAACACATCATCCACGCACCCCCGCCACAACTTCTCCGTCACCATTTCAAACCCCACATATCGTGCTGCCAAGCCATCGATCGCTATTTACCAAGATGCACGAATACAAGCTTGTGTCAAGCGTAAATGGAGCTCTTGTTACAATAAATTTCTATTCGTCATTTCCTGCATGAAGATTGGGGTTGATTTGCACTGTGATTGGCGAGATGATAAAAAGCCGCCAACTCTGCCGGGCCGTGCCTGCATAATAGGTTAAAAATCTCCTGTCTCTGCAATGCCGGCCAGAATTAGCGCAGCCAATACCAATGCTTGCAGGAAGTGAAACTCCGGGCTGGGGTAAAAGGTGGAGGGGTTGGCACCATCTGTTCACCTCCCTCTTCTTCCAACTCCTACTAGAGAACTGTTTAGTAGTTGGTGCTCAATAGATGGGTAAGACAAAGGCTGGGAAAGGAAAATGACTCATGTGTTTCATGGGGGTGTCTTTAAAGTCAGTAATATGATCCACAAGGCAAGGATCATAGTTCAGCGGGGGAAAATGTGGAGACCAGTGGTGACCTCATGAACGCCCATAGGATATCAAGATTAAGCGTTTAGCATGAGTAGTACATATTACCACACACATACATACTATCCAGCCATTCAGGAACCACATTGAATATGTACGTTTTTATTTGCTAAAGAGATCCGTAATAAACGAAAGGACTGGTGATCATACAAGATGGCGTTCGCCTCTGCGATCGCTTCATAAACGAAGGAAATTCATTGATACAATCCAGTCTCAAACTAGAAACTTCTTAATCATAACAGCACCAATTTATGCGTCCCTACTACAAGACCTCAACCCAAAATGACCACTGACCTAGTTCCAGATTGACAGTCCAAACTCATCATTGCAAATTGAGACTTTCGCCAAGGATTTCGTATCGCGTTGAGATGGTGGTGCTCGAGTGGCAATGAAGGGTGAATGCCATCTAGTTGCGAGCGGGAGGAGGTGGAAGGGGATCACCTTCAACCGGTGCCGGTGGTAGAGGAGCTCCCGGAACTGGTGCTGGTGGAGGAGCACCTGGAGCTGGTGCTGGTGAAGGAGCACCTGGAGCTGGTGCTGGTGAAGGAGCACCTGGAGCTGGTGCTGGTGAAGGAGCACCTGGAGCTGGTGCTGGTGAAGGAGCACCTGGTGCTGGTGCTGGTGGAGGAGCACCTGGAGCTGGTGCTGGTGGAGGAGCACCTGGAGCTGGTGCTGGCGATAGAGGAGCACCTGGAGCAGGTACTGGTGGTGGTGGAGGACCACCACCGACTGCTCCTCCTCCTCGGGCGCCTCCTCTTCCTCCTCGACCTCCACGACCTCCGCGACCACCACCTCGGCCACCTCGGCCACCACCTGGAGGTGGTGGAGGAGGGGGAACTTCACCACCCGGTGGAGGTGGAGGTGGAATGGGAACGCCAGTGGGTGGTGGTGGAGGAGGAGCACCAGCGTCTGGTGGTGGTGGAGGAATGCTACCATCAGGTGGTGGAGGAGCACTTTGGCGCTCAACAATCAGAGGTGCGGCGAGGGCACTGTGTCTGTGTTAGCTATTGAATCAAGAGTCGGTTTTCAGGAAAGTATATTAGAATGAATAGTGAAAAGAAATGGGGGTGATGTACCCAGCGGCCATGAGAATCAAAAAGGTAGACCTCATGATTGATAGCAATACAAATGATTGTTATTTGGTAGTCAAAGGATTGATTGAAGAAGTGAATTGTTGTTCACTGATGGTAATGGCCTTCCCAGAAGTGCTGAAGCCATGTGCCTTTATACTTGAATTTCTCCATACTCTCCGCGATCGTCTGTCATCAATCTTCATGTTCAGTTGCATACTTGTACCTGGATGATCGCTGTCATTAGGGCGGAGTTCCCTACCCCGCGCCTCCCGTCCACGGCTTGAGCTGTGTAGTGAATGAGTACATGGCATCTGTGACGCCTTGGCCAAAGCCAAGAAATGAGCGACCGGTAATACCCAGATTCCGGAGATACGTTCCCCTTGCTGGGCTGTGAGGCCAAGATTTGGGCAGCGGAATGATTACGTTGGGATATGCTGCGGCAGGTGACACGTCTTGTCACCAATGAAGTCGATTGGATGGGTTCTCTTCGACGTGCATGCCCTGCGGCCGGAGTTCTGGACTTGTACCAAAGAGCTGGGTCGGAGGGCCAGGTCTACAAGATGAAACGCACCCTACAAGCCGCCCAATAGCAATGACGGTTGCACATTATAGAGTAGGCATTCAGACTCTTTTTTGATGTCATATCCGGCAGGGGTCATGTCTGATTGGCTCTCGGACCATTGAGGCCCGGCCTAGTCTGGCTGTCAGGGTATAACCCACGTTAGCCAAGTAGCCGATTAAATCCGGCCAGGTTTGACCAACAGGATAGTTGGTAGTTGGACAGGCGGGAAGTAAGACCCTTACATTTAGAGTTCTCTCAAGCCTCATTCGCCAGGAATCCGTTTCTTTTTGCACTAGAAGCCCATGTCACAAGAAGCCTATGTGCCGGCATCAGAAACGCAGCTGTTGTGAAACCCATTTGAGATTTAGCCTCAGACATTTGCGAGATTACAATCTCACTAGAAGCATAGCTAAATACTAACATAGTAGGAATCTGCAAAGAGTGAGTCTGTGGCATTACATTTTAAGAGACGTAAGACAGCGGGTTGGGAATGCGGCATTGCTGTGGTCATGTGCTTGGCATGCAGGCCCAAGGAATAGTGGGCATTGCCTTAATGTCAAGCAACAGGTCAAGCTTCGTCATAGGCGAAAGGATCAGCCTTGTTATCTTTGCTTTGTGCGAAGATCAACAAGTTTACACTCCCATTGTACTAGCACAAACGCATCATCCCAAGCCGCCGAAAACTTGCACAAGACCGAACATGTCGAGAATATATGAGGCGACCTTGACGTGATGCATATACATAGGGTAACTAACACGGCAAAGCCCGCAGAGATCCGTACTATCGTTTGCCGACTACAAAAAGTGGCAAAAAGGGCCGGCCGGATGGAGCAAATGCCGAAGATCGGCAGGTTTATATGCCCACTTGATCAGGCCGAGTGTTGGAGGCACCAGTTGGAGGCATTGGTTGTGGGGAGAGGAATGCCTGGCAATTGTCATTGGATTAAAGAATTAGCAAGGCTACATGCGTAGATCATCGTTAGCACTGGAAATGCTTCGTGGCATGCATAGCCGCACCTTGAAAGCTTTGTACAGTATACAGACGTAGTCTCCATCAGCTCTTGATGAAGCTTGGTAGTGTTAATTTTAGCACACGTCCTTAGTCACAGACGTCTCGTATAGTACGCAGATCAGTCGTCGTCTTCAATGACCAAGCCAATCTCTTCCATGTTTTTGACCTCAGCCCCTTCATTACGTGTGTCCGCATCATCGTCGGCGCTATTCTTGGGTACGTTTGCATTCGGGGCCAGCTTCTTCTTTGCTTGCTCCGCACCAGTTGTACTGTCCTTGGCGTCGCCATCTCCGCCCTTGCCGCCTTTCTTTGCCTTTTCTTTCCGTTGCCTTGCCTTTTCCCGCTTTAGCCTGTTCTTCTCCGTCTTTTCCTTGTCCTTCTTCTCCAACTCTTCTTTCCGCTTAGCAAACTCCTTCTCGTCTTCCTCCTTCTTCACCTCTTCGTCCATGGCGCGCAGTCTCTCATACTCGCGCCGCCGGCTCGCTTTGTAGACATGAAACTCGCCACTACCTGCACCGGCGCTTGAACCTTGAACATTTGCGACAATTTCTGGGGGCAGAGAGGAAGTCTTGGCAATTGCGCCGGAGCCTAGGATGTGGATTTCGCGGTCAGGCTTTGCAAAGAGGGCTTCGACCTGGGAGGCTTGCTCTGTACGTGGAGTGAGGGCGCGTTTCTTCACTGGGCGTTTCGAGCGCGGGTCGGCGGATGTGGGTATAGCCTCTGGGATAGGCTCGGACATGGTGTTTGCAGGTGAGGATGGATATGCCTGGCGCAGGCGGCGTTGCGTAGAAATCAGAGCACCAGAAAATACACACGTGGCCGATAGCCTTACGCGACTGCGGAGGGATGAAATGCAAAGATGTGATGGGTGATTTAGGCAAAGCGCAGAGAGAGGCAGTGTCGTGGAAATATTATCAAACATTGATGCGAGTCGGGATGGCGCGCTAGGTGCCTGGCTACGGCGCGCTAGAAGTGCCACATGCGCCTGCGAAGTCGCCGCCATTCTTGGGCTTGCAGCACCACATGAAACACGCAATATCGCATATTTCTCTGCCCCTCTACACAGGATCTGTTCTTGCCTGAAGCATATACAGGCTGAACATTTTCCACTACACGCCCATCATTCCCAGAACCTACAAGTGCTGACACCCGAGCATCCCACGCCAATATGGGGAAACCCCGCGTAGGTCCACTTTACCACCACGACCGCCCTCAGTGCCTGACCCTTCCGTAGATGATCATTCTGATTCGCCATGCGCAATCAGAGGGAAACAAGAACCGTGATATCCACCAGTTCATACCCGACCACAGGGTCAAACTGACCCAGCATGGCTGGACTCAGGTACGCTGTCTTTATCGCATGGCTTGAGACACTTCACGACTGACTCTAGCCCGCCATAGGCAGAAGAAGCTGGACGTCAGCTCCGCTCTATGCTCAAGCCAGACGACACCCTCCAGTTCTACACCTCGCCCTACCGCCGGACCCGTGAGACTACAGAGGGCATCCTCCGCACCCTGACCTCGGACGACCCCACCCCCTCGCCCTTCCCCCGCAACAAGATTACCGTCTTCGAGGAGCCAAGGATACGAGAACAAGATTTTGGAAACTTCCAGCCATGTTCGGCAGAAATGGAGCGCATGTGGCAGGAGAGGGCTGATTATGGCCATTTCTTCTACCGTATACCCGACGGTGAGAGTGCAGCAGATGCTTATGACCGTGTCAGTGGCTTTAACGAAAGCCTGTGGAGATCATTTGGAGACGATAATTTCCCCAGCGTTTGCGTGTTGGTTACGCATGGACTGATGTCCAGGGTATTCCTCATGAAATGGTGAGTGCCCAACCTACGCAGTACAAAGAGGGAAACATACTGACTTGCTGCAGGTATCACTGGTCTGTCGAGTACTTTGAGGACCTCCGAAATGTAAACCACTGCGAGTTTATTATTATGAAGAGAAGCGAGAACAACGGCCGATATATCCTCCAGAACGAGCTGCGAACATGGTCTGAACTCAAACGCCGGGCTGCCAAAGAGAAAGAGGAACAACCAAAGAGCGCCACGGCTGCCACACCAAGCAGAAACACGTCGTTGAGTAATCTCAACCAGGCTGGGTCTACCTCGTCTCCTACTGTGCCCATTCGACGCTGGGGAGGATGTGTAAATGGATGCAACCATGACAAAATCAATTACCCTCGTCGTCCAATGCGAAAGAACACGATGGAGTATCTTGGGCAAGGTTCTCAGCAGACTGCTTCGCCTGCCACACAACATATGGAGCCATTAGAGAGCGAGCAAGAAGACCACCCAGTTGCAGCCCAAGAAGCTGATCACGCTCCCATTATCAATGAGCCATCGCCAGCCAAGCTGTTGCGAAAGCAAACCGCCAAAGGTACAGCCATTCCCGCCATGCCGCCAACGCCCGCATCACCAAACGATGCCTCGAACGATGCTTCCAGTAGCGAAGAGGGGGACAACGCACATTTGGCGTCAAGGTCCAACAATCACGCACAACCGCGAACTACCGCTATTCTACGTCATCTACAGCCCATGCAGGCCGGTGAAGGCTTCTCGGACGACTCCGACTACTTCCCTGGTATGCAGCACCTCCACCACAGCACTGGGCAACGCAAATTCCTCCGCGCCAGCTCTACGCAACGCAAGCAGTCCAAGGATCGCAAGATCCAGCGCAAGCAAACCGAACAAGGTTGGCTCGAAGAATCAGGCATGGGCAAAGACGTCAAAACAGACAGACTGGGTGACGGCGATGCTACAAGCGACGATGCCGCATTCGCCAAAAAGAAAGACGAAGAGCCACCCATCTTGAGGGAAGCTCTGAAGGGAAACATGATTGTCGAACACAGTGAAGAGGAGAGAGAAGCGGCAGCAGCAACAAATGGTACGCAGCCTGATTCCGCCGACAAGAAAGTTACAGAGAAGGACATCGACAAGATGCAGGATGCAGAGAGAAAAGGTCTCGATGAAGTATATTAAATTTAGCCGCAAGCGCCGTACCCGCCCCCCTAGACTCCTCTGTACCTTGTGTTGTTTTTTTGGTTTTGCAACCTGGATTACGCACTTTATTCCCCTTCGCCCACATAGACCCTGCTTGACTCCTGAAATGAAACAATGAAGACCGTGTACACCAATACCTGTTTTTGAAAACCAAACCCATTGAGTCCCCCTTTTGGTACCGTTGTGTGAATGATGATGGTTTTGCTTCTGTCATTCTGCCGTGTTGTACACATTTTTTCCCTTCGTTCTTACCAATCTCCGTGTACCCTGTCTGTAGGGGGTGTGATGTCCCCCATGAAGAATGAGTGTTCTTCACTTCTTTCCTTCTTCTTTCCTTCACTTCTGATTGTCCTGTACCTATCCTCTTCAAGCTTCCTTCTTCTTCTTGACTTTGCGACTCGGCATGTTGACATTGACCCTAGCCATCGTGGTGATGAGGCAGATATGCCATCTTGACTTGACACACGGCTTTTGGGCAAGTTGAGAAAATTGGGTCATGCCGAGATAAGAAGGAGGTAGTTTGATCCCATGTTGCAGAAGCAGAAGCAGCAGCAAGAAGGGTATCTTCTTTGGCTGCAACTATGCCCGATGCGTGCTGTTCAATGATGTGCGTACGTACGAGCTTCCTCCAGCTCACGAAGTGCCAGAGCGAACAGACTCTGTCTTAGTTGCTCTGGCTCACTCTCGTGATTTACCTGCGTGTACAAGAGAAGCCTCAAGCACAGCCGAGATTTATGTTTCGTTTTCGCATCATTATCTCGATGCCACGTGGACCATATACACCTTCATCCTTGTCCATCTCGACCCACAGGTCTTCGAGAAAAGCCCATGTTGGTTTTACCCTTGGCTTGTTCTCTGGGGCAGTGTTCATTTGTGCTCTCATCATCTCGCGGTGTCGAGTTTTGCGGCAAACCTACAAGGGGGAAAACTTGTTAGCACGCGCGTATCTACCACATCGATAATTTGGGAACTTACCGAACCTACGATACGCGCACCCCAGTTCATGGTCGAGTGGACGCGCGATTTAGGCGAAAATTTGGACGCAATTTCGATCATTTGGTCGAGGATATCGTCCACTGTTTGCATAAGGGAAGCAGTAGGCCTCTCGTTGCCGTGGAACATCGTGTGAAGGAAGATCAACAGGACTTGCTGTTGGATTTGACCAGCTATCCGCTCGTCGGGATCGTCTTTGATCAACAACGAGGGACTGGGCTTCCAGGCTTTGATCAATCTTTCGAAGTGGCGCTTGTCTTCGGCTTTCCTAACAGGATCTGGCTCACGCACATGTTGCCGTGCCGACTCTGCTATGGGCATGATGAGACCAAGCAACTCATGGCACGACCCCAATAGTACTCCATGTGATTCGGTGCCCCAGTTGAGTGAATTAAGCGCTTCTGGTGACAAGAAGTCATCATATGGAATGTGGCGACTAACGGCAAAATCCGTATTGAGAGTCAGGTTCGAGTTGATGGCCAAGAAGGCATAGATTTCTGTGAGAAATTCCAGTAATGGCCCGTGGCTACTGTGACGACCTCTAAGCTCGAGTAACACAGTGCGGCTAGCACGGAGGTGGTGGTAGACACTGCCATTCATTTCACTGGATAGGCTCTATTGTAATCGTTAGCGTAAGTTGTTTCTTACAAAAACGCCTCATCGGTTTAAAAAGCCGAAAGAAGGATAAACTAAAGACAAAGAGAAATTAGAGACCCACCTCAAACCAACACATAGCCAACATGACGATGAGGAGGCTAATGAGGTTCTGAGTGCTAGACTCCTTCCAGTCGAGGAGCCCATGCTTGACGCTGCGTAGTGTCACTGCGTAGTAGGATCGTGCATCATGCTCGAACCGATCACCCTTGTAGCCACGCAGATGGGCTCCACTCAATGCTAACAAACACCCGACAACTCGCGTATCCTGGTACGCCACGGGCAAAAGATAGCTTACAAAAGGGTTGATGGGTACTATGCGGCCGGCTATTTCCGTAGCCGTTACCTTGATGTAATGATCAAAGATGTGCTTTTCGCTCTCGTTTCGCAGCCCAGGCATGCCATTTCCGAGGGCCGGATATACATCAGTGCAAGGTAGGGGAAGCAAATACCGCATTTGTTTTTTGTCTGGTGTAACGACTTGCTGTGTGGTCGTGCCGCTGCCGTTGCCGCCGCCACCGCGTGCTCCCTTGCTCAATCCTACGACAGGACGACGAGGCGGGGCCGCCTCGCGCGGCACGCTATCTGACGTGTTTGCTGATTTGGTGTTCTGAGTGGCAGATGATGGCCAGGTGCAGATGAGATGGTTGCGCTGACAGCCAAAGCACGTGGGATGCTGTTCGTCGCACTTCTTGCGGCGAGCTCGGCATGTGAGGCAACCTGTCTTGGACTTGAGGCGCAGCGATCCATAGGCCGGCGGCGGTGACATGGTTCAATTGAGAAGGACAAATGATTGCGTCGGGCTATGTATCTGCGAGACACCCACATAAAATGATGGGCCAAACGATCACTGGGCATGCAAGAGGCAAGGTCCTGGCCCCCCTGGAACCGGGCGTAGGCTTGGATTACCACACGTGACCTTATCGGGAGCGCGCTTATCTTAGCGCGTCGTGGCGCTTGGGCGGCTTTCCTCAACGAGCATACTGTGTAGCAATGTATACGAGCAGATACCTCTACGGGGCCTATCAACGTCTCGATTCCTTACACTGTTGACGGACCGAATCCTTCTAAACCCTCCACTTTCATTACAACAAGTACCATACTCGTACTCCGCGGGAATGCTCCAGAACCTCGAGGCAGACCCTCCACTTCTAGACAAGCGCGTCAGTTCTCATATTAAGATGACAACCTTCCCCATCGAGTATCTTACTTTCCGCTCGCTGCACGATGGTTCAGATCGTCAGTAACTACACAAAGTATAAGGAAGGCAGGTCCGAACCAACATGGTGGGCAATGCCACACTCTTCCTGACCTGCCTTCGTTTCAAAAGTAGAGCAAAAAAAGAACTTATGACCTAACCAGGGGTCGCTATCTCAATGTTAGTAGTCTGATTCGAATAGAACCGAACTGAGCGGGTCCAACTTACAACCTGGAATCTCTTGATATCGAACTCAATCGTAGTCAAGCGCCTTGCCATTGGGCCATTAGGCCATCTAATCAGATGGATGGGAGCTCGAAAATTGGACGGTATTCATCACCCAGCTATGAGAGGGAACAGAATACAAACAGGCTATAGATCATCAGGGCAAGTGTGATTGTATTTTTGAACATCGGCGGGACATGTGTATAGCGTAAAAGAATTTTGCATGTGAGGTGGGGATGGGTCGGAGTGGTTCGGCGACTTGGAGGTATAGCATGATGTTGAATGGACGACCATTTGGGGAATCGGATTTTACCAGTAAGTTACCAGCATGGCTATAATATTTTCATATACAAGAAGCGAAGAGTACCTAGTTCGATATACTAGTTGTAAGCTATCGGAGCGGTATGTCTTCCACTCACGAAGTGCTTAAGCCCGCGCTGCAGGCTGCTGAAGAGTGCTTCCTCCATCAGGGTAAAGTACTTGCTCGTTGTAAAAAACACCTCCAGGTCCAGCAAGCATGAGTACGGTCGCAGCCATATCAGTGTCGGCTCCCGGGCGGCCGGCAGGATTCGACATTTCTGAATCCATGCGGCTCTTGTTGTCTTCGTCAGATGAGCCGGTTGTCATCTTTTGTAAGTTGTTAGTACACGGATATGATTTGAGAAAACAAATACAAGGGAGGAGGTGATGTAAATGATATAGTTTTGCTTACCTCACTAGGGAAAACACCGGGTGCGATGGTGTTGACGCGGACCTTGGTGCCCATGAAAGTCGTTGCAAGCATTCTGCTGAGGTGTGTAGCCGCTGCCTTGCTGGAAGCATAGGCAAATTGACCACTGCTGCTACCCTTCATGTACCCTGAGATACTGCTAACGTTGATGACTTGTGAACTATATCCGGGGGTGACACTGCCACCCTTGGCAAGTAGAGGAAGGAAAGTCATGCTCATCCAGTAGATACTTCCGACATTGGTCTTCATAGTGTCAGCCCACTGCTCAGGCTGCGACTTAAGGAAGTGGTCGGAGATGGCTTGGGCGTCTTCCATGTTGGGTTGGCCATTTGAGGAGAATTTTGTGTTCTCGTCGCGCGCAATTCCTGCGTTGTTGATGAGAAGTTGGATTCCCTTGGGTTCCTTTTGGCACATTTCGTCGTATAGGCGCTTCACATCATCTTTTTCACTGTAAAAATGTCAACTCTGGCGTACGGCTTGATCAGTGTGATTTGAGATACTCACCTGACGTCGGCCTGAATAGGAATGATCTGTCCTGGCCCGGTGTTGTACACTTCGTCTGTTTTCTTCAGGACCTCATCACGCCTTGATGTGATGTAGACCTTTGCACCGTTGGCGACCAGCGCCTGTGTGATCATCAATCCGATTCCTGTTCCTCCTCCAGTAACAAGAGCAGTGACGTGTGACACATCGAAGAGCTTAGAGCCCTTTAGATCCTCGTTGCTTGCTTTTCCCATATTTCTGACTATTTGGTAGGAGGTCCTTGGGATGAATTGCTTTGTGCGTGACAGTGGTGTAATTGGTCTGGTAGCTGTTGGTACAGTTTTTGAAAAGAGTCGGAGCATTTTCAGGTGTGGTTGTAATGGGTTCTCTCTTTATGTGATATGAAAGTGGATGGACGATGTCACAGTTTGCATGCCAATATGATGACGTTGAGACGACGCATGATCCAATGCATTAGGGCACTGGCAGGCCGGCAGGACGGCAAGCCTCCATACTATGCGCTCACATTTCTTTCAAACGATAATTCCAATTCAAGCAAAACTATACCTATCAATGTCCACCATATTTGTTATGTCGATCAGTCAACTTATTCCGAAATTGAGTGGGTATAGCTGGTGATGCATTTTCGGGAATTCCTTTAGTGTCAAGGGTACATACCAAACAAACAAGCTTCAATTAAGAAGGAGTTAATTTCATTATTCTTATATACACTGGTTACTTTGCCGCATCGACCTAATGCAAAGTCATGGTGTTGAGGACTTGAGAATGATGACGTCACGTCTCTAGGCTACATACACCCAATTTATCTCCGGTTCGCGATCTTACTTCTCCACAAGAATCATATTAGAAACACACTCAATCTTACAAACTATTGTGTTGCCAGTCCTACAACGTATGAGTATTGCTAAAGACTCTAGGACATCACGCAATCGAGACTTTTAGTCAGCATGTTAACCTCTGATTGGACTATGGGGATTAGTAACAGCCTCGGAGATAATGCTATGGCATCATCGCCACAAAGATGCCGAATGAGGGGAAGCATGGGTGGATGAAGGGCGCGTTGTCGTTTTGTATTTCTAAACATACGGGTATATATAACAGCTTTGACTGTCTCCTACTATCCAGCCGCATATCTAAAGTACCTACAATCGCAAGCATCACTCCAGCAAGCAATTGCCGACTTCAACACAGGAAGACTCGATTGTACTATCAAACATATCGCAAATCATATCGCATATCGAAGACACACCTAGTAGTATTACGACCACAAAATGACCACCACCGCCTCTCGCCCGACACCTGCGCACCAACTCTCCAATCCTGCGCCCACTTCAACCAACGCAACCTCACAGGACGTAAATTTCCAAGGCCTGCCTATCCCACGTGGCTCTGTCAAAGCACAACTCTCTTTCTACAAAGCTCCCGAAGATGGCGCACCCCCACATAACTACGTCGAGCCACTTCCAGGCGTCCCACAGCGAAATTGGGGAGACAATTGGGCCGAAGTTACTATCGAAGACCTGCGAGGCAAGGAAAAAAACTTCACCCTCGACAACAACGCCTTCGACACATTCCAGAACATCCAGAGTGGCCTGACCAGAGAAGACTTCGAAGACGATGAGGCGATAAAAAGGGTCTACTACCCCGAGGTAGAAGATCTCTTACTGAACAACGTGCAAGGCGCACAGCGAGTCCTAATCTTCGACCACACAATCCGCCGACCAACCGGCAACCGCAACCCTGTCCAGCGCGTCCACATCGACCAAACCCCCCTCTCCGCCGCCGAACGCGTCAAACTCCACGCTCCAGACGACGCCGAGAAGCTACTCCAGGGCCGCTACCGCATAATCAACGTCTGGCGCCCGCTCAACGGCCCGGTCATGGGTAGCCCGCTTGCAGTCGCCGACAGCCAGACTGTACGAGACGGCGATCTGATTCCAATTGAGCACCGGTACCCGCATCGCAACGGCCAAACGGCAGCTGTGGCGTATAACCCGGAACAAAAGTGGTATTACTGGTCCGGAATGAAGAATGAAGATAGATTGTTACTCAAGTGCTTTGATAGCGATGAGGTTGTTGGGCAGTGGGGTCGTGTGCCGCATACTGCTTTTGTGGACCCCAGAACGCCGGAGGGTGCGGTGGGGAGGGAGAGTATTGAGATTAGGGCGCTAGTTTTTGGTTGAGCGTTTTGGTAATGTTGCGAGATGTAGTTATCTGTTTTTGTTTTTGGTTCTTGCTTCCAACTCATATAGCCTTGGCGTATTGCAATTGGGGTGTGCTTTACTGTTCTGATAAATCAGCGAATGATACATGGAATTCGTTCTTCTAAATGAACTTAGCTACGTGACGTTCGTGAAATCAACTCCTATTACCACGATTCTCCTCAGCCCCTTCCGTCTTGTCTCTTGCCTTCTTATTTTCAGGGTTTCCTTTGCCTTCAAATCATTCAGTAGCATTCAGAATAGGCACAACAGATGAAGTCATTTCACATCAAGCAAAGATGAATGTCAAATCATGTAGTATATCATTTACAGTCTAATAAGACCGTAGAGTAAATTATTCGACTATATCCATATTACTTCCAAACCACTCGTCTATACCATAAATTCAATCATCAAAGCTTGGGTATCCTACATGCCAAACTCTCTCTCTTTCAAAAAAACAGTCGCTACGAGGTCTAACCAAAACATGAGGGAAAAAAGATACCTCCATCTATTCTTGAACCTTAAAGACCATTATTGAATCGTACTCATTACTATTATCAAACTCTAACATTGGGGCCAGAAGTTGGATATCCTCTAGCGGTACAAATCTCTATTAGTGGGATCGCTCTTTGGCGGCGGAGCAGTGGGTTGATTGGATGCAGTATTTGCTGGCGCCTCGCCCACATTTACAGGGGGCGCTGGGGCGGTAGTAGTGGGTAGAGGGGCTTGAGGCGGCGGGCTAGGAGGAGCAGAGGGAGGAGTGTCGTGTGTAGCATTCTGTGCGGAATGAACGGTAGGAGGATGGCCTATTGCTGACACGGGAGAATGTGAGACTAGACTCCCGTCCTTTGCGGCGTCGCCGTAGAAGCCGGCTTGTTGGGGAGGCGGGTAGACGTAGCCTTGTGGGGGCACAAAGGCGCCGTTTGGTCCCCGGACCCAGCCTGAAGGTGGAGGACCGTAGTAGTAAACTTGGCCGGGAGCAGCGGGTCCTCCAGCAGCAGGTGTTTGCGAGATCTCTGGGTGCAGTGGCTGACCTGGAGGAACAATGCCTACGGTAGTCTTGCTGAACTGGCCCAACAACTCTTCTGGGTACTTGTGTCGGAACCCCCACTTCCACCATGCCTTGAAAGCCGCACCACTGCCCATGTTCCTCCATTTCTCAGCGAGCAGCTTTTGGTCTTCTTTGCTGCGACGGTCCTGCATGCGGGTGAAGCAGAGAATCCAGAGGGAGATGAAGACCCAGCAGATAGTACCAAATCGCATGGCGCTCCTGCCCATCATGAGGCGGCGAAACCAGAACCAAGATTCGAGGAAGCCGCAGAGGAAGAAGAAAGGTATGATGACGGCAATTGCTATGATGTAGTTCCTAAGATATGACCCGCAGTAGTAGCAATCGTCGTAGTAAGAACTTGAGCCGCCGGAGCCAGAGCCGGAGCCAGTTGAAAGAGAAGGCGGTGGAGTACTACATGAGGCAATGTAGTAATCGTAGTAGTAGTCTGTGGCGGGATTGAAAGGTGCAGCGCTGGCTGTGAGATACCATGTCTCATACTTGTAGATGACGGAGCCGTAAGAGCCAGTCGCTGTACCTGTCTCGATTGACAAGGGAGATATTTGCGCCGTCACTTTCGTGGGAATGCTGACAGAGGCAGTGGTTGTTATGGTGACTATTGGTTTAGTTAGCATATGATGTTCACACTGTGAAATAGACAGGCTGATACGTACATGGTGTAGGACACGAGGCAGGTGCAGTCATTGTGACTTGCATACTGTATTTGGTGCTTGTGGTTGTCGATGTTGTTGTTGCAGTTGAGTGCCAGTCGTATGTGGTTTCAGCAACAAGATCAGACTCTGCCACAACACCAGTGGTGTAGTAAGATGCCACGATCTGAACATCAGCATCGTACCAGTCCCGAGAAGTAGTGACGAGATAGGGAGAAGCGGTAGGAATGACATCGTCCTTTATGGTGCGGGTTGACGTGTACGTGTCAGTCATGACACGGGTGTAACCGTATGTATATAGACTCTCGGTGACTTGTTCTGCATAGCGAGCGGTTACAGTCCAGAAGGGTGCAGAGGAGTAACTGGTGGAGTAAATGGGATCGTAATACGAGTCATCAGTTGTAGAGGAGTAACTGGAGGAGTAACTGGAGGGGTAAATGGGATCGTAGTACAGGTCATCAGTTGTAGACTGTGCACTCGCGATAGCGGCACTGGCGAAAGCCACGAAGGTGTATCGAGCAGCCATCATGGCGCAGGATATGGAGATAAACGATTGAAGGTCGCGAAACGCGAGTATTAGATATTAGAGTGTACTGTAGTAGTGTCTTTCCAACGTCAGGGCAACGACCTCATTTTAAGCAGAGTCAGGCACACGGTACCCTTCACGACGGCTAGTTCACCGGTCGTGCAAAGGGTTCAGTCACATCTCGTTTCCCCTAAGCGATCAAGGCAGCCTCGCGCTTGGTGCAGGGTCTGCCTCCTTTCCCCCAATCACAGCGCGATCGCAATGGCGGTTGGCAAATTCTGCGGGAAGTCTAGATGGTTAGCGGAGTTGTAGTGTCTATCTTTGGGTCCTTGCGCATCATGTCAGTTTAGTGGCATGCAGGGGTGGGCAGGAGGCCTGAGGAGGATAAAGGCTTGCACTGCCCGCACGTTTATTGACAGGACAGCTTTGAGCTTGGTAATGCAGCAGTACGATCCGCTCAAGGGTGTATGTGGTAGTTCATGAATACGCCTTTCTTCTTGGCAATGACGTGGTTGGTGTTGAGTGTAGTCCTACAATGTTACGGAAGGGTGTTGCCGGGACCTCGTTATGGTGGCGTTTTTGTGAAGAGACACGCGACATTGCAACGTCTTGGCGGCACTTGAAATTTCATCTCTGCCATTTGCGCCTCGGGTCACAGTCTTTTAGGCCCTTTGGCCTTAAGACTCCCATGGGCTAAGCTTGTGAGAACAAGCACAAGCATTTGATATTCCTCTGGCCCCACGTGTTCCAGACTTAGCAGGTGGGATCTGTGGTGGTCACGTAACCGCACAAAAACATCTCTGGCCCGTTCCCGATGATAAGCGTATACATACATACCTACTACCTACTGGGCAATATCCTGTCTGGTATAGTTGAGATGGGCATAGAGCGGTTTGGGCATCCGTGTTAACATTGTTCATGGAAGAGTCACAGTATGCGCGCTGACAGCATGCCTGAAAGGGCATGGTTACATCAGGTACCAACACATGCACACATACAACAATCAGTTAATGACTCCTACACGATACAATGCAAGGTAACCTCCCAGCCATCGACAGTAGGCTGCACCAAAATAGAGACGATACACCGAAAGAGATCGATATCTTGATAGTAGCATCGTAGCATATTCCATTGTGGCCATCTGTTAAGCATCCTACGACGGCAACTCCGAGACTAAGCGAATGAAATCCCCACTTGTGGTTTTATCGCATGTCGCGACGTAACTGTGAGGAAATTCCGTCGGTAGAACTTTTTTATGGCAAACAGCAACAACTATAGTGATGACTGGAAAGATGACGCAAAGTAGAGTTACTCATAAAAGCACTGAAAAGTGCTTAGTTAGACGTCGGTCAAAGCCGAACCAATGGTGATAAAGCGTTTTTAAGGCGTCCAACATCTGGTGTTGCACTCTATTCTCATCGCCGATGTAAATTGGTGTTGACACGAGGGCTACAGAGACCTTCAATCCCACCACCCTTTTGCACATTACCTTCGGTGTTATTGTGAAGCTGAAGAGAGTTTGTTCGAGGACACGGGAGCTTACAAATTTGGAAAGTTATCCTAAGAACTATTGAGTAGCCACTGTGCTATAGGGCTTGCCAAATCTGTAGACCAGTCGTCCTAGTTACATTTCACGTCGCCCGCCTTATCGGCTATTCCATAGTAGATAGTTACAGCTTGCAAAGAAGGATCACGATTGAAGAGAGACAACATATGTACAAGCATCTGATACGCATGCATTTAGACTTCAGCTACGATGGGTTAGCGTCACTGACCCCGCCCCGCCTGGTGCTACCTTGACGTGTCCAGCCTCACAGCCCCTTGCCACCTATTCTATACCTCAACAACGCTCGGAAGACTTCATGCGTAGCCTCTCCATCCAATCATGGGCTCCAAATCTCCAGAAGAACATCAGGAAGGCCACAATGGTGAGTGTATACCAAGCCTGATTATACTTATACAACATTCTGACAACCTTGCCTAGGGTCGTCCGGAGACGCCGCAATTGCTGTGGTTAACCCGCCTAAATCAGCCGTCGCGAGCGGCTTGCTTCAAGGCATGCTCGAAGGGCAGGGAGAAGACGATGAAGACGACGACGATGAGAAGAATAGAGCTGACGTGAAGACAACGGATGGTAAACTAACTGCATTTGGCTGAAATACAGATGTTGACCTATCTAGGCGCCAAGAAAAAGAGGAAGCGCAACAACAAGAAAAAGAACAAGAAGGGGCCAGCTACACAACAGTCATTCCCGCCTAGGGTCCCTCTATCAGATCTATTCGATGGCCGTCCTTACCCGGAAGGTCAGATTGTCGACTATGCCCCGAAGGATGACAACTTCCAACGTACCACGGCCGAAGAGCTTCGGCATGAAGCTGCCATGAGTAACATGGACGGAGACTTTCTCAAGGACTACCGCAAGGCTGCTGAGATACACCGTCAAGTCAGGCACTATGCACAAAAGCTGGCCAAGCCAGGTGTGTCCATGACTTACCTTGCCGAAGAGATTGACGAAAGTGTCCGTGCCCTGACTGGTCACCATGGTCTTGAGCCTGGCGATAGTCTCAAAGCTGGGCTGGCATTTCCGACGGGACTTTGCCTGAACCATATAGGAGCCCACTGGACGCCAAATTCAGGCGCCAAAGAAGTCTTCCTTCAGCATGATGATGTCTTGAAGGTTGACTTCGGAGTCCATGTCAATGGCAGAATTGTCGATAGTGCATTCACTGTAGCTGCTAACCCAGTCTACAACAACCTGCTAGCAGGTGTAAAAGCGGCCACCAACACCGGGCTGAAGGTAAGTAACAATTCACTTATCACACATATCCTGAATCTCTGTCTAATACATCGATCTACAGGAAGCAGGCATCGATGCCCGAATCGACCACATAAGTGAATCCATCCAAGAAGTAATGGAAAGTTACGAAGTCGACATCAACGGCAAAACAATCCCCATCAAAGCTGTCCGCAACATCACCGGCCACAACATCCTCCGCTACCGTATCCACGGCGACAAGCAAGTCCCCTTCATCAAGACCAAAACCAACCAACGCATGGAAGAAGGCGACATCTTCGCCATCGAAACGTTTGGTAGCACAGGGAAAGCCTATCTACGAGATGACGTCGGCGTCTACGGCTACGGACGCAGTCAGCACGCCAACACGGCTGGCTTGCACCATGCATCAGCGAAATCGCTTCTCAAGACCATTGACGAAAACTTTGGCACACTGGTTTTTGCCCGCCGTCAGCTCGAACGTATCCCCGGGGTTAAGAGTTACCATCTTGGCATGCGATCGCTTGTTAATAGTGGTATTGTGGAGGCGTATGCCCCACTTGTTGATATTCCCGGATCGTATATTGCGCAGTTTGAACATGTGAGTTGAAAAATTTTTGTGCTATCAGTTGAGATGTATGGTTTTGCTGACATGATTACGTCCTTGATTTAGACGGTTCTACTGCGTCCTACGTGCAAGGAAGTCGTTTCTCGTGGAGACGATTACTAAAGCGGGGATTTTGGGGATGAAGACGGTAAAAATCAGACTCGACTAATTGGCGTCTGTAAGAAGTTGCAGACAACCAGTGTGAGTTAGATGTTTGTCCTCCATGCTGAGAGTAGCTCAGTGCCATTCGTTATTGTAGGGTCTGTGATACCTCGGTTTCAACACAAAAGGTCACAGCAATTCGGCAAAAGGACCGTTTTCAACAACGTTCCTTGAAATTTCATGTAGTTTGATAAAAACCACAAATCAAGCAGCAACACTCATTCATAGCGGTGAAATTCAAAGTAGCGCATATATATTACGAGCATACACTGCAAAACTAACTATGAAAAAGAAATGGGGGCATGAAAAGGGGGAGTCGCACAAGGATTCGGCGCTGGATATCTATCTATTGCGAATTTACGCAGCCGAATCACTCAAAGAAGGGGGAGGGAAAGTAAGCGAGAAACAACTGGGGGGAGAGAAGAAAGACAGAAAGAAAAAGAAAGACTCCGACATGCCCAGCTTCTCCAGCAAAGACATCGAGCGACCATCCAAAAGACCCCCAAAAAACGTCCCGACCCACCCAACTTACCACGCTTTGTTGCTTTACTCACTTCCTCCCTTCCATATCAAATACATTATCATATCGTACAAACGCTAGTCAAAGCGTAGAAAAAAAAGTAGAACAAAACGTGAAAAACGTGAGAGAAAAAAGGACTACTTGCATCACCTAATCTCGTGTATACCATCAAAATCCATACTGTCGTCTAACCGTACCTCGTGGTCTGCGTCCGGCACCAGGTCCGATGTCGATGCTCTGAAGCTCAAGGCTGAGCGCCATGTCTTCGTTCTGGGAGCCATAGGCGCCGCCACCCATGTCGAGGGGCACCTTGGCGGGAATAGGGGGTGCAGTGATGCTGTGGCGCTGGGTGCCATGGCGGTCATAGCCAAGGCTACCATAGGTATTGGGGTTCTCGCGCTCACGGAGGGCTTGCCTGTCCGGCAGGTTGTATTGGTGAGATGATTCGTAGGAAGAGACGGGACGGGGCTGTGGGTCACGCTTCTGCAGTCTGTTGCGTCCCATTGAGCCAGTCTGTGGAGGATGCTGGCTTGCGAGGACAAGTGCACCGGCATTCACAGGCGAATTGTAGTCGTTGAAATCGTGTCTAGCAGGCACAAGAGCTGTGCTGTTATCAAAGTTCATGCTTGCTGCGTGACGGAGGCGTTCCCTTTCAGCGCGATCGCGTTGGTACCTCTCTTCGCGCTGCATCGCAGCCTCGAGGTCACGACTACCGTTCAGCTGCGGTCGGGTGCGAGCTGGCTTCTCCTTGATAGTGCCCTTAGGAACAGGTTCGGGAGCCCAGTTATCAACTGGTAGATGGTCGGAAGCATCAACAACCCGGCCACTGAAGGTGACAATTTGGCCCTTGTCGTTGTACTCCATGCGGCTACCTGGTCGTTCGGCCTCATCATCTGAAGGAATCGGCGACTTGGACATCCTAGGATTGTAGACGTCGAAGCTATCAGGGTTGAATGCTATCCCAGACAATCTACGCTCCCCAAAGTCTTCTCCAGCAGGCGGTGGACGAGGTGACACTGATTTGCGGGTCGGCATACTGCGTGCAGGCATCCTAGAAGAGCGATCCGCAGCTGGGTTTGGAGAGTGGCGGTCCATGTCGGGGTGGGGAGAGTAGCGATTCATATCAGGATGTGGGGAGTGATGTTCTGGGACCGGATTCGGGGAGTATCGTGGACTCACACCTGGACTCGTGGCACGGGGTTTAATAAGTGGCGTGGGATCATACACTGGAGGAGATCTCTGTCGAGGCTGCTCAGGGGGGTCGTGAGGGTAGTAATCGTTCATGTGATATGCTGAATGATGAACCAGTTCCTGTGACTGCACAGGAGCTTCAAACTGAGTGATGGCTCGATACTCGGCAGGCTCAGAATAGTGACGAAGCCTTGGCGTAGGCTCGTAGGACGGAGGTCTGTCGTATGTTGGGGCTTCAATCTCTTGTCTTGCGGGATTGAGCCCAGCGATAAGACTAGACGGCAATGCAGGAATCTCCTGCCTCACAGGCTCTTGTCGAAGGGGCTCCTGCCGCAGCGGAGAGGGTACCATTATCTCCTGAGATATCGGGCGGCTTACTGGCTGTGTTTGCGCACGGGGATGAGTGTACCTTCGTTCAGAAGGCTGACGGGGCGCATAGTCAACAGGCTCGTACGTCTGCGGCATATCATCGAAGCTGATCCGGCGAGAGTCTTCTTGAGCTCGTGGTGTGAAATTGAGCGGCGCCGGAGTATCATCTTGATACATGTCGCGACTTTCCCTGTGGGCATGAGGAAGTGTACTTGCGTTGCGGTTGTGCATAGGCGGTGGTGGCGGCATATCGTCTTCATCCTCAACCATGGGCTGCATTGCACTGCGTCTTCGATGGGTAGGGCTTTCCTCCTGCGGCGGGGGAGCTTCGATAAATCTCTGACCGTAGTACGGGTTCTGAGGGGATGCCTGGTCTTGGCCGTACTCCCGACTGCGGCTGCTCCGCAAAGGTGCGACTTGGTAAGCAGGATCCTGATACTGCTCGTGGACATGAGACGGTGCAGGCTGCTGTGGTGGCTCGGCCCTCGCAGGCGGCGCCGCTGGCGGCTGCTGCTGATGTTGCAACAGTTGCTGTTGCAAGTACTCAATCTGTTTTTGCTGGTCTTGTATCTGCTGCTCATGTGCTGTGGGCTCATAGGTGTGCTGAGTCGGGACAGCCGGAGCCGAGTGCGAGTGGACTGGCTCGGGATGTTGCTGCTGTTGATAACTACGGGGAGACCGAGCATCATCTTGTGACATTTTCCTTGGTCCTGGGTTGCGTACATGTTGTGGCAGAGGGTCGATAGGCTTCACTTCATACGGTTTGGGTGCTGCGTACGACATGTCGAAGCTCTCTTCTCTTGGCATAGGTATCCTCTGGTTAGATGATCGCGGGTTGGGCGGTGTAGTGTACGCAGGCTGGGGGGCATGGCGTTGAGACGTGTTCTGGCTCGATGCCGACACATGATGCAGTGGGGATGAGTCTGGCACGGGCCTACGACTGGGTGGATCTGGCTGGCTTCGATGAGAAGGCGGTGTTTCGTTTAGCGGTTGCTGGTGTCGCGGTGATCCTAATTCTCGAGGACCAGCACGCATTCCCCGCAGTCCTCGGTGTTCTGGTGTCTGGAGGGGTGATGGTGTTACGCCTGTTGGATCGGTGGGCAGCGGTCGTCGCTTGACCGGAGCCATCTCTCGTGCTCCACCAACAGTCGCCTTTCCCTCGGGTCTGGTTGAACTTCGCTTCTTCTCCTGGACAGCATTCTCTGCCTTGGGACGGGTATCGTAGAAGGTGATTTCCATGCGGAGCTCGCCGGCATACTTTCCTTTGCAATTGAGGCCCAGCCACTCGTCGCTCTGTCCACCGCCAGGCGTGATGACGGATTGGAGATTTGCCCAGGCCTCGCCAATCAGTTCCGTCTTCTTGTCGTCATTGAATACCGAGACCTTGAGGCGGTTGTAGTCTGGAGAGTCGTGAACTGTGAAGCGTAGTTCTTGGTCCCTGCATACGTCAGAAGTAGGGCTTTGGGGTTAGTGTGCCATGGACTCACCATTTTGGAGTCTGACCTCCGCGTTTGTCTGTCCGAGTCTTCTTTGCCTCCTTTCCGAGACGGGCTGCACAGTACGGGTCTTGTTTTCCCATTGTGCGTTTGTTTGGCAGATTTCTGGCGCGGTCCATGATGACTACCAGGGTGCCTATTACCGGCCCGTCGACAGTCATGTCTGAAAAGATGCCGGCAGCGTGGGCGCCGCCGAAAGTGGGCGTGTGAGCCGCCTTGCTCGCCATGATGAGGCAGTTATTTTTTTGGTGTTGTTGGTGTGCCTATGTTGTGCTGGGGAAGGAGGGAAGGCGCGTCGAGCGGGATTGGAAGCAACGAGTGGTGAGGCCGCCTGGGCAGCGTAGTAGCAGTGGGACTCCGGAAGCGGACATGCGCTGCAATTGCAGGCAGAGCAGAGTAGAGTGGTGGGATGGAGGAGGGAGGAGCAAAATGAGCGGGCTGCTTTGGGCTGCGGGTGGCTACTGGTGCAAAAGCAAAAGAGCGACAGTGCAGCGGCAGAGGACGTGGGTCAAGAATGGAATGGCGACGCGTAGGGCAGTAGGGCAGAACTGCAGTTGTTCTAATCGATGTTACGCATGCTGTGGCTGGGAATGTCCAGCCTCTCTCAGCTCCGCTTCGGCTTAGCCCCGAGCGCTCCACGCCAATCACCGGGCCACCTGCTGCGCCCACCGCCCACTTTGTCATCTTCCCCGTCAGATCACTAGGGGGCGTACCTTGCAGCTCCATCAGGTTTCTTCTTTAGCCTTGTTTTGACCTGCGAACGCCCTGCCGCGCTATCGCAAATGCTCGTTTTGGCCGTCCCAAAATGCCGTGGCTGGTTCGCGCTTGTCCGTCACACCATATCAGCGCCCCTCTTCGCCCCAAGCGACCGCGAAATATAGAACGCCCGGCATATCAGGCCTCTGCACCCGGCTCCCAGCACTTCCGTTCCGGTGTATACTGCTCTCTGCCCTCGCAGTGGTACGCACTCCCTCGTATCGCATCCTGCTGCCCGTCCGTCTTACTGCTTCCTTCGCCTCACCCTTCTTGTACCCTGTGCCGTGCCATGCTTCTCACTGCATGCGGCAGGTCACGCCTACCCATGCCCTGTTGTCCGTTCCAAGTATTTGCATATCGGCGGTACTACTCTCCGCGCTGAAAAAAGGCCTTGGTTGCTTTGCTGCGGTGCAATTCTCCCAGGTCTGGCCGCGGCTCGGCCAGGCTATCTTGATTGTCGAGGCCATGGTGCGGCTGGTTTCTACGGGGACAGACTCGAATCCAGGGATACCGTTGATCTCCCGCCCGCCAATCGAGCTATGAGATCACTCCACTCGTCGGGGCGGCCTCGAATACGGTCCTAGGAGATGGCTGGTGCATGCATACATATTGTCAGAGGGCGGCTACATGCGTGCTCTTACCGAGTCGCCTATTCGTCACATGTCAAGAGTGATGTCGTCGATTGTGTACATACCATTACGCACCGCCGAAATTGCTACCGGACAATCTCAAGGCGAATTGAATGTGAATCTCTTGGCCATCTCTAAGCGCAACCCAGTCCACTGTGTTGGGCCTCATCAATTCATTGCCGCAGACGTTGCGTGTTTTTGTTTTGGCGCCCACAGATGACCAGTAATTACATAGTACTGCTTTGGCACGGAAATGGCATAGCGTGTCTGTTCCCGTGACAGCGCGTCCCCGCGTTTCGTGACTTCCCTGCACTCACTATGTACAGCCCTCGCCACACATCACGCTTTCAATCACGACACGCAACAGCCACGCATCTGTGCCATAGCAGTCAAAGCTTTGTTGTCTTCCAATGTCGCTGTCAAGATGCCGACACATACGCCCTCACCGCACCGATTCCTAGCTCCAAATCCGCATTCAGCCCAAAAGTCGACTAGACCACATTCGAGCCTACGTAATGCTACTGCAGTTCCTCCATCCGCTTCTGCAAGGACACCTACGCCTGCAGGATCAACAGAATTGCAGTTCAAAAGGCTGACGCCTGCGAAGCGCTTTGTCGTTGCACCGCTACAAAAGAACCCTACTGCGGAGACTGCAAAGGTCAGCGAAGCAGACGTCAAGCCAAATGATGATGCACAGTTACAGCACACGCCGCTACCAAGACCACGCAGAAAGCTCGAACGAGTGGAAAGCATAGAGGAGCCATCACAATCAAGCCAACAAGATGCCAATCAACATGTCCATGCATCTGGCGTCATATCCTCCGTCCAAGACCAGGATATGCTGTCCGACGAACTCAAGCAATATGAACAAAACGAGGAGGATGACGAAATGCTCTTTGAACCAGCGACGCGAACCAAACGGCGCCGCAGGTCGTCACCCACTTCTCCGTCCTTGCAGCCACTAGAGCCCTCAACAATGCACCGTTTTAAGGTAGCACCGCCCCGCACCCCTGCACCGTTCCCAAGCATTGCGTCCGTCGCGGCCAAACCTTCAGCACCTTCAAGTCGTCCTCATTTCATTCTCCCTGAATCACCAAATTCTCCCCCCAAGGCTTCCAGACCCCCACCGGAAATCTTCTCCCCATCCCGCAAGCATGCAAAGTACGTTCCTGGCGGTCTTGCCTCCACAGTTTCCGTCTGGGTTATCGAGACGGCGAATACAGGGTTTGCAGCGCAGGAAAGGATCGGTGGAGTTTTGGGACGCGACAAGGACGACGGTGTCAGGGTGCGGGTGAAGATAAGTTGCTTATCCAGAGGCGCAGCGAGTGAACATGACATGCAGGAACTAGAATGCCATGCTGGTGGTGTTGTGTTTGCGAGGGGCCAAACAGAGCCAGGCATATATGATTCCTCGGCAGTATCCAGTATATCTGGCCAAGATACCAACACGAACATTCTCCTTGCTGGTCAGGGCAGTGTGAGAGGCTCTGGAGGTGTTAAAGTCAATACTGGAAGCATGATTGGTGTACGAGCACCCACGTGGGAGATTGATGTTGGCCACGAGAAGTGTTTGGTCGCTGTTGATTGGGTGGTGCTGTAAGTATGGCACCCAATCAGACAATACCTATAAGGATATGAGTGATGATTTACGAGCATGAAGGGATTTAAATTTAGTAACAATCTACTAATGAATGCGTTTTTAAAACTAATCATCACCTATCTTGCTTCACTATAAGTGTGGTTGAGAGGAGAATGTCTAATACCGTAAATGAACACAATCCTCTCCTATCATACCGCAAGCATCTGCAATTCTACTTAAAGCGAGATTAACAGATCTTGCTTGAGTCATGGATTTAACCTACGTCCGCCAATGGCGTTGGAGGGCTTCACAATGCTTGATCGCTCACGATACAAACAATAACTATAGTTTTTATAAGGCAGTAGTATAACGATATATTATTAAAATAAGGATACGAAGTAGAGCATAACGCTCTAGTATATACAAGTGCGCTATGTTCTGCCTCCTTTCTATCTCTTTACTCATATATTTATTCTTATCCTATTCTTTAGCATCCTATCCCTAAAATATTTCTCTCCTCTTCTCTTTAGTTATTATTAATATGCCCCTCCCCTCCCCTTCCCCCGTTTCTTAACTCAATGCATTACACTAAGTACTAATCGATGTCGGCATCTTTCGAGATACGATCATAGCATTCTATGCCTGCCCACCCAAATATATCCTAAAGGGCATGTAGTTGGAAGAATATATACAAATCCCCCACCCAAGTATTTCTAAGTCTGTAACAATCCATCATCCACTTCATATAGACAATCGCTAGCTACCACCCTTCCCCTAATAAGGAGTTAAGCTAAATTTATATCTACAGTGGCGTTCGGACGCTTAGGCTAAGACTCTAAATGAGAGCCTGAACGTTTCTTTGGAGAAGAACACGCCGAATTCTGGTCAGCAACATTAGCAGCTCAAAAGCCGGACTGGATGTTATCCTTAGTCATCGCCTTCGCGGATTTGGAGTAAGTGATCGGAATGGAGGTACCGCTACTAGCCCAAGAACTAGCCATGGTACCGACAAGAGAGACCGAGTCTGAACTTGAGCTCGAAAGATCACTTCCAGAGGACTCAAAACTCGATGCATTTTCGAAAAACTCAGCATACCCCTTATTCCATGTGTCGGAGTTGTTTGAGTGGCTTTTGGACTCGCCGCTTCAGGAGAGGAAGTGCAAGAGCGCAAGAGCTTGACAAAAGATATTGCGACAGCAACAAGATCAAGAGAAATGACACTTCTAGACAACACAAAGACGTAGGAACATACTAGAAGCTATCTCACATTCACAATCAATATACTACAAAGTCCTCTAGAAACTGCTTCTAGATAGGCCAAGATTGGCAACTTGCTCCACAACATCGGCTTACGAGAACGAGTCTAGACAAATTCAAATCATGATGATGATCTTTACGCTGATGGAACGCCCGACGCAATCACACTTCAACAAGACAACGCAAATCAAAATATTCCTACCATCACCCTCGCTCCTCCTTCAGACTCCCCCAATCATAGATATTACTACTTAGGCAACATTGGGCGCCAAGACTTGGATTTGCTCGGATGTGCACCCTGTACTGAGGTGCAGGCCGAGGAAGAACCATGAGGGGTACAGAGGCAAGTGCTTACGCTGCAGGAAAGCTGGACAGAAGGATAAGGTATGGATGGACAAGATGGGCATTATCCCATTTGCGGCGGAGAAGAAGGGAGAGGAAAGGAGGCTTGAAGTGGATATATTGACCAATAGAATGAATATAGCCGAAGAGACCAGATTGGGAGAGAAAGAACAAAAGGATGAGGATGACTATACAACACGGTAGGGATGGTATCACTGCAGGCTAGTATGGCAACGTGGTCTCAACTTGTGCGTAGGTTTTTTTTCGGGCAGCACAGGCGCCTGTAGATAGTGATTAAAGTTTACAATAGGTCGTCTTGGTTTCCTTTTTTGATAATCGTTGCACCAATTGATCATGTTGAGTTCTAAGGCTTACTGCTAGCACACTTGGCGCATGTTGACAGATAAGGACATCACGTGACGGATGCTCATATTTGCCCCCCACTCTTTGGACGACATGCAGTACTCTACCGTAAAGATGACAATCCCTCGCTTACACAGCACATGTCGCCTCCCAATTTATCCCTATGGTCGCACGAAGCATTGAGCTGCGAACACGTACAGGCATCAGATTCGCCCGCGGCATTGGCATCTCCTCGCTCACTCTATATTTCTCCTCTTTTTGCAACCTCGATAGCCGCTGGATAATCGCGCAAGCGATGACGCCATGCATGTCAATACTGCTCACGGCAGGAGTAGATTAGAGGGGTCTAGGGGAGACTGGCCATTGCATCACGATCCAGACGTCTAGAGCTTGGGCGGCATCAATGGGCACGCAAAGATGCCCAGTCGACTGCAGTTCAACTGCTTCGCTGTAAGTACACAGCAGTACGTAGAGTACACGGCCAGGGGCTTCGAGGGTGGGTCACATGGTCGTCTTGCTCCTCTCATCGTCCCACGTCGCAGAGAAGGCCATGGAAGTCAGAGACGGTCGGGTCGGCTCGACCTAATCGGCGGCTTAGTGGCGCACTCCCTGCTCCCCGGCCCCTCGCCACGTCACTCAACCTCATCTACCCTCTCATTTTTGCTATTGTCGCCAGGTCTCTCCACGCCGCCCCCTGCATCGGCATGCATTTTGGTTCGTCGGCAGACGAGGCTTTCGTACGGGGTGCACCTTGTTGACTGACGTTATCCCGCGCGCCCATGCTTTCCGGTGGCCGTGATTCTGGCCGCTCCAAAGTGACTACCAACGCTACATCGCGCTTCATCGCTCGCGACACATGCTGCACCTAGAACCCTACATCGGGCCAATGGCGGAATCACTGCGGATGCCCGAGCCCACCCTCCGGTCTCCCAATCTTTTCTCTCTGAACGAACGGTCATTCCCTACGTGGCCCAATGAGACCTACAGGCCAAGCTCGCCATCCCTCAGTGAGGCCTGCGGGAGCAGTCGGGAGTACCGCCCAAGGCTTGCCGAACTATTGTACGCACACTGCGCGAGATTTCTTCTTGCGATCTCTCGCGCATCGTGTCTTGTGACAGCTGTCCTGCAATTCTCCTCCGCCTGGTCGAGGTGTACCGTCGCAGCTTTGGCCCATTGAAGCCACGCACATAGCTCATCCACCACCCGCACTTCCCTTAGACTGACACCATCTCTTATTCGCCTCTCCGCACTCAATCTTTGCGCCCCACGTTGTGTGTGCCCATTGCATATCCCTTTGTTGATTATTGCCTGCAATGGAACGACGGAAACGTCAGATATACTAGCACGTAGCACCACTTGTCATATCTTCGGACCTCAAAACCACCATCACTTTGTGTCTCTCTGTCTGACCCATCATGCGTCAATTCCAGCAGGTCTCCATTTCAAAATGGGAGGACCCCTACGGTAACTCTGCACCAAACACAGTGCAGAACATATACGGCACACCAAGTCCACCACCACAACCACAGGGCTATTACGCCACAGCAAACATACCTCAACCGCACAGCTATTATGCCGCACAAAGTGCACCACCACCACCGATAATTCTTCGCCGTGTAGTGCCATCACCCCCTACATTGTCTTATTCGATTGGTAGCCAAGGGGCAGGTGAGGAGAACAAGAACAATAATAATCAGCAGAACCAATTGACAACCATAGATGCAGGAGACTCCCTAGCTGCACCACTGGAATCACCTCCAGTAACATCAGATGCCACTGTACAGGCAAATCCCGAGGGGACTGCCCCCGGACATCTATCAGCCCAGGCACCTGCTCTTCAAGGTAGTGAGAGTGACCATGTGACAGGAGGGATTGCAGCTAAATATGTTAAAGATGACCCTTCAGGACTACCGCCGCCTCCACCAGCACCAATAGCTGTTGCCCCTATTGCGGTTCAAAGAAGCCCACCAGCGATAGCGCCAGTACCAGCACCAGCACCCCCCGTGCAATACCCTGTGCAATATTCAACCCCTCCACCACCAGCACCAGCACCTCCCGTTCAGTATTCAAGTCCTCCACCACCTCCACCAGAACCAGCACGCGTGCACCCATCACCTCCGGCATCAGTTGTGGGGAGTGAGAAGAGTGGTGAGTCCGAGCAGGCCGCTCAAGAGCCCCCCAAATCCCCTACAACCAAGTTTGTTCATTTTACCTCTGACACAAAAGACCCAGACGCCACAGAGGATGGTAAGAAGAAGAAGCCAATTGGGTTTACTAGAGTCAAAGCTACCGCATTCGTTCGTCTTAAGAAGTCATCGACGACTCCCTCTGCACCCCCACCAAAAGAGGAAAAGAGGAAAATCATTTCTCCAGAAGGCTTTATTCGAAGGCGAAGAAGGAGCTCGCTCTTCTCGTCCTCGTCGTCTGAGAAGCTGAAGCCTAGCAAGGAAGAGAGATCCAGAAGCAGGAAAGGAAGCAATGATCCTAGTCCGCCTTCAAGTGATGCTGGGACAATCTATGTACCATCTGTTCCTTCATCGGTTATTTCTGATAGCGTCATCGTCGAGGAGACAGCGGCAGATGTTGCGCGATCGATTGTCAGCCAACCTGCCCCACTACCACCACCTCCACCACCTCCTCAACCGATAGAAGTAGCTCCTGCGCCTGTAGAAACACCGCCCGCCGCAGAAGAGCCTCCTATCGAAAGCGAACCAGCACCGGCAGCACCTCCTGCAGAAGCTCAAGAACCCGAACCCGAGGAGCCACCACAACCAGACGAACCCGCTCCGCCTGTTCCTGAAGCGCCATCATTAGTGTCGGTTGAATTTGTTGTCGCTGAAGTCGTTCCATCACTAGACGGGTCAACGATTGAAGCCACTGACAAAGACGAAAACCAGGCGCCAGAACCATCAGCAGAAGTCAGTGAATCGACCAGCGAAGAGGACCAGGTAGCTAGTGAGCCCGCTTCCGAGCCGGCACCGGAGCCAGCGCCGGAGCCAACACCGGAACCGGTGGTCGAGCCAGCACCGGAGCTAGTGGAAGAGCCCGCAGCAGCAGAGCCAGCCCCAGAGCCAGAGCCAGAACCAGCTGCAGAGCCAGTTGCAGAGCCAGTCCCAGAACCAGCCGCAGAACCAGTCGCGGAGCCAGACCAAGCTCCTGCGGTCGAGACTGCTACTACTGAGCCTGAAGCTGAGATCGCTGTCGAAGTACCATCTGAACCGCAAGAGGCCGCGGCCGAAGACACAAAGCCCGCCGAAGACGCTACCGCTGGTGATGAGGCAGACGCAACACCAGCAGCCCCTGAAGAGGCCGCTGCAGCAGTTGAAGAACAACCTGCTGCGGAAGAAAAGACTGTCACTGAAGAAGAGCCTTCATCAGAGGATGCACCTCCTGCGGTCGAAGAGAGCTCTGCCACTGAAGCGACGTCTGCCAACGAGGAAGCGCCGGCTGTTAAAGAAACTCCTGCTGCTACTGCAGAGGAGGCACCTACAGAGGAACTAGCACCAGCTGTAGAGGAGTCACCAAGTGCGCCAGCAGATGCTTCTACCCCAGAAGAGGCGCCAGCTCCAGAAGAGGCACCTGCTTCAGGAGAGGCACCTGCTGTTGATGAGACTCCCGTGACTGAGGAGGTTCCTGCTATTGAAGAAACCGCTGCTCCTGTCGAGGCACCTGCAGAAGAGGAAACAGCACCCCAAGCTGTGACAGAAGAAGTACCTGCAGCTGAAGAGACACCTTCAAATGAAGAAAATCCTGCCAGTGAAGCCCCTCCAGAAGACGCTCCCGTCACTGAAGAGGCTTCAGCTGTCGAAGTAGGCCCTGCCACCGAAGAGGCTCTAGTTACTAAAGAGGCTCCTATTGAAGCAGTCCCAGTTGTTGAAGGAGTTTCTGTTCAAGATGCATCGGCCGAAGCCGCTGCTGCTAATGCTGCTATCGCTGCCGCTGCCACTGCCGCCGCCGCTGCCGCCGCTACTGCTGCTACTGCTGCTACTGCCGCAGCTGCAGCTGTTACTGCTGCCGCCGCCGCTGTTACTACTGCTGCCGCCGCTAATGCTATTAAGGACGCCTCGGTCACTGAAGAAGCTCCAGTTGTCGAAGAGGCACCCGTTGTCGAAGAGGCAGCTGTCACGGAAGATGTAGCTGTTGTTGAAGAGACGCCCGTTGTTGAAGAAGCCACTGCTGCTGAAGTACCTGCTACTGCAGAGACCCCAGCCGCTGAGGAAGCTCCCATTGAAGTAGCCCCCGCTGTTGACGTTCCTGTCACTGAAGAACCTCCTGCTGCCCCTGCTGCTGAAGAAGCACCCACTGTTGAAGTTACTGCTACCGAGGAGACCCCGGCTACCAAAGAGGCTCCGGCTATCGAGGAGACCCCCGCTGCTGAAGCTCCTGCCGCTGAAGCCCCTGCCGCTGAAGCCCCTGCCGCTGAGGAAGCTCCTGCTGTCGAAGTAGCTCCTGCTGCTGAGCAAGCTCCTGTCGAAGAGGCACCTACTATTGAAGAAGTTCCAGCTGTCGAAGAAGCTCCTGTTGAAGAAGTCCCCGCTGTCGAAACCCCTCCTGCTGAAGCTCCAGTTGTCGAAGATGCCCCTACTACCGAAGAGGCCCCAGCCACTGAAGAGGCCCCTGTCGCTAAGGAAGCACCTACCGTCGAAGAAGCTCCTGTTACTGAGGATGCTCCAGCCACCGAAGTTGTAGCCACCGAAGAAGCCACCGCTACTGAAGAAACTCCCATCACCGAAGAAGCCCTTGTTACTGAGGAAGCTTCAACCACCGAAGAAACTCCTGCTAATTCAAAGATTGCCACTGTTGAAGATGTCTCTGACGATGAAGGAGCTCCTGTTACGGAGAGGACTTCAGCCGCTGAAGAGGTTCCTGCCGCTGAAGCTCCAGTTGTAGAGGTTCCCGCCACTGAGGAAACTTCAGCCACCGAAGAGACTCTTGCTGTTGAAGAAGCGCCTGCGGTTGAGGAAGCCCCTACTGTTGAAGAAGCACCTGCTACGGAAGAAGCGCCTGCTACAGAAGAAGCGCCTGTTACTGAAGCGCCTGCTACTGAAGCGCCTGCTACTGAAGCGCCTGCCACTGAAGCACCTGTTGTTCAGGAGGCTCCAACCGAGGACACTCCTGCTGCCGAAGAAGTTCCTCCTGCCGAAGAAACCTTAGCTACAGAGGATAATTCGGCCATTAACGAGACTCCTATGCCTGGGGGATTTCCTGAGGAGGCCCCCGCAACGGAGGAAGTTCTTGCTACCGAAAAGGCTGCTGTCCCTGAGGAAGCTCCTGTCACCGAGGAGGCTCTCGCTGCTGAAGAGGCTCCCACAGTAGAGGAGACAGGCCCTTCAACTGTGATTGAGGAAGCACCCGCCAAAGAAGCCTCCCCTGTTACTGAAGAGGCTTCGACTGTTGCGGAGGCCAAGGAAATCCCTGCCCCCGAGGCTTCGCCCATGACAGAAGAAGAAAAGACTAGTGTCGCAGATGCTACGGTAGAAAGCGAAAGTGAAGCTGCACCTGTAGCCCAATGGTCAAGTGAGGAAAATGAAGCGGAAGTAAAGTTGCGGTCTGAAGAGGCGAGCACGGATGCAGTAGGTAAGCATGCGTCCTACACTTTGCGGAGAATTGCGTCACCAAATAGAATGCACATCTTGTCCAGATGTTGATATATAGTAGTTGAATCTCAACCTTCCGAACCTCACGCTCCTCAAGACACTATCGATACGTCCTCGCCTGATGATGCCCCGACCGTCGAAGACACAAACGAAGACGCTGACGGCCGCGATACCATAGCTGCAGCAGATGAAGATGACTCTATACCTGTTGAGGAAAGTTCAGACGACGATGATTCATCTGTCGATGATTGGATTGCCGATGGAGATGGCGGTGATTGGATAGCCGATGGAGATTCGGATGGTGAAGAATCTGACCAAGACATTTCCGACTGGGAAAAGGATGATGTCTCGTCGCAGTGTGATGCGATCGAGACGGATGCATCTGAACATCACGATGGCGATGGCCCTAGTACTGGGAGGAACTCGATCGAGCCAAAGGGTGACGACATGGATAATGTAGAATCACAGCAGCCGGCGGGGACAGTGGACGTGTTTGCATTCCAGGAAGATAGCACGGGTTGCACGGACGAGGTCACAGAGTCTATTGTCGCCAAAGATGTGACCGTTGTGGACAAGACGGTGCCAGAGGCAGAGGTCATGACACAAGAAGGGTCGACTGGCACACACCAAGCATATGTCACGGATGTTGATATTGAAGCAGAATCGGCAGAGGTTCCTGTCACGGAGGTAGATGCTGGGAAGGTTATTGGCGAGCAGGGCAAACAGGAAGAAGCAGTGGGCGGTGATGGGGCAGGCCATGGCGATGGCAACGGTGTCGAGGCAGAAGCAACACCAGAATGCAGTCCGGGCGGTGATGCTGTGGGCGCACTAGAGGTTACACCTGTTCTGGACCCTGGTGTCGGTGAGGGAACATCGGCACAAAGCAATATGCTTCCCGAGGCCAGCGAAGCGGCCGTGGAGTCGGGGAAGCCCGATGACGTGGGAGAGGCGAGGTTGAGGGAGACGATAGGTAAGTGAACGCCCTCTGTTTGCTTTTCACATATTTTATGTCGTGTGCATGTACCTCCTGTTGCTTGTCGCCGCTGGTGTCCGCCCTGCACGGCTCCGCGATAGCGCCCTGCATGCAGCGCATCGGGTTAGCGCGCTGTATGTGGGAAGCTGCCATTGGCCGCCCCAGAATTTTTGCTTGGTCCACACTGCCAACACACATTCTGTCCATGCCGTCTGGCTTATCGTCACGTGCCCAAAACCGTCCATCCAAAGTCGGGCTGCGATGCATACGCGCCATTCGCCGACAGTCACCATGCGTCGTTTTGCTTTGCGCTAGCCAGCCCGGCTGTTCTTTGCCTCCCGACATCCCCGTCACTCGACAAGCCCGTCCATCGTCTGCTTTTCACTTATCATCTTTCCTTCTCCAACCACCGCCGCCGGCAATCGTTTTGCTGCACGCACGACGCCCTCGCCGACACTCTCACTAACTTGACACAGTCGACACCGCTGCCAATCTTCTACCCATAGCCGAGGACACACCGGACGAGTCATGCGCAATCACCCCGGCTCACGCTACTAGTGAAGTGAGCCCAAATTCGGCCTCAGAAGAGGCTGGCGTTCAAGCACAAAGTGATCAACACGCTATCCAAGACGACCTCCCTAAGCACTCTCCTGACGAGCCACACGTTGCTGATTCCTCTCCGCAACACACCGACCAAGATGTTATAGCAGCAGATTCAGGAGTAGCAGAAAGCGAAACTAGCCCTGCTCCAGATATACCAGCCACTGAGATATCCGAAGCGGTAAGTAAAAATAATTTATGAAACATCATCTTACCCTCCTATGCTCTTCAGCATACGCACCTTGGCGAGTCCATGCTCATGAGTAACAGATCGCTACCAGCCAAGCTTCTCTAGAGGTGTCTGATCCCCCCGAAGTGGACATGAAGGCCAACGCAGTCCCAGCAGTCCCAGCACACCAAGAGAAGATAGCAGAAGAGCCAGAGTCCGACTCGGGAAGCGAACCTGAGTCTGAAGATGACGACTGGTCTGGGTCTGAAGTTTCATCCCTACCACCTGCCGACGATGTCTCGCAGGTTGATGATGACACACCCAGCTCTGAACCTGCACATGATGTGAACGACAAAGTCCAAGATGCCGCCCTGGAGCAAAAGGCTCCTGTAACGGCTGACAAGCCCGATGCACCATTAGAGGACCAAGCCCAGGATGACGATGACGTCGACGATGGTCCCGATGGCTCAGGCTCAGAGGTGTCAGCAGCAGCCGGGCCCGAAGAAAGCGAATCCGGGATCGCGGAAGACGTGAGCCAATCTGGAATCGAAGAAGACGGTTCGACCCATGAGCCACCCGCGGACCCTTTGCCAACTGAGGATCCCGACCCGCAAGGCTCTGAAGTTGGCCCAGAAAGTGTTGCCAAAAGCGTTGCCGATGGCCCTGCTGAAGGAGACTCCATTGTATCTTCAGAAAGCTCCGAAGGCGCTGAGGAAGAGCCTGCTGCGGATGCAACAGTGCCCGAGTCACAAAATGCGCCCAAGCCAAAAGATGTGCCTGAGCCGACACATGCGCCTGAACCGGCAGAAGAAGATGCCGAGGATGCCGCCGAAGAGGATGCTGAGGACGCCGAAGATGACGATTGGGATGGCTCCTCTTCAGCGAGTGAGTCTGGAAGTGAGGCTGAAGCTGACGAAGCCGAGGAGCAACCAGAGGCTGCGGCTGAAGCACCCGAGGATGACACTATCTCGACTGTAGATGCAGAGGTAGGAGCTGATGCCGCTGCATCTGAAGCGGAAGTCCAGGTGATTGAGCCGGCCGCGGATGTGGAATCTCATGCATCTGGTCCGGAAGAAGGCTCTGCAAGTGTTGCAGAGCTGGAAGAGGCTCAGGAACCCGACACTTCCGCACCAATCGCTGAAGAGGCTGCGACAGTCGACGCAACCGCCGATGCTGACGAGGAGGCTCTCGAGGAGCAGGTGGATGACAGCCTGGTGGATGATAGCCTAGTGGAGAATAGCCTTGTGGAGAGTGAAGATGCTGATCCAGCTCCGGCTGATGCACCAGAGGAGGCTGAGACTGCACCACCAACTGAAGTCGGCACAGCAGAGCCGCCTTCAGACGGGTCAGATATAGCATCGGGAGAAAGTGAAGTATCGGTAGAGGAGGATGGCGAAGCAGAGGAAGCGCCCGCAGACGACACCCTAACCACGGAAGATGCTGACGCGGCGGAAGACGAACCCTCAGAGGTACTGTCTGAGCTGGCTGAGTCAGCTGTAGAAGAGAGTGTTGTCGAGGAACAAGCACCTCCTGCTGAAGACGCTACTCCACAGCCAGATGTTGAACCAGTCGCTGAACCAGTTGCTGAACCAGTTGCTGAATCGGTTGTGGAATCAGTCGCGGAATCAGTCGCGGAATCAGTCGCGGAATCAGTCGCAGAGCCAGTCGCAGAGCCAGTCGCAGAGCCAGTCGCAGAGCCAGTCGCAGAGCCAGTCG